AAAATTTTGGAAAACGTCCAATTTTCAAGGGAGACTCTGCTGAAATTTCGGCAGAAGTCTCAGTCTTTAGTAAGTGGGCTCGGCATCGATATGATGTCGGAACTGTCACGGGATTCGTCCCAGATTCCGAGAAATTCGGAGTGGGTCCTGTCACGTGTTGACATTTTGAGGGAGTTGATTTTTTTTTTTCCTTAAAGGGAACTCTAATGATATAATTTTATGTGTGGCTAATGTTGAGTAGTTTTTGTTTTATATTGAAAAACATTAGACCCATTTATGTAGTCTAATTGCATTGCTTTACTATCGTAGGCTTTTCTTCTCACTTTTCTTTCCCACAAAGTTGTATGTGTTCAATTTCTTTATGCTATAATGGGAAAGATTCATTTTATTCATTTAGTGACAGAATAATTTTTATTTTCCCTTGGCAAACATGTTGTGTCCATATGTGAAATTTGTTTTCATTATGAAAGTTTATTATGAAACTAACCTGTTTTCAATTTTGGTATGAAAGTGTGTGCAATGATGATTTTGGTATAAAATTTTGGTAGAGAATTCTTACTGTCTTATAGGACTCATAAAACTATGGAGATATCCTTGAGATATTCTTATGCTCATCCCTAAGGCAAAAGTGCTATTTTATGTGACGTCAAGAAGGGATTTATCCCTGAATGAGTTTCGAGGCAGGCAAACTCCCGCGGGGTGCAAGTCACATGTACTCTTGGAGAACTCACCTAAGTGAGAGACGTTGTGAGGCCGCGATTGTGAGAATTGGGCTATTCTCTAGTAACTCTCATGAGAATCAAGATTAGCGCATGGCCGTATATAAATAGCGTTACACCGCATCCAAGTCTCAATCAATACCATGTTTGGGATATTTGAAGTTTGGTCAAAGGTGCCAAGTTCAATACTTTGTACACTCAGGTTCCTCAAATGGAGACTATCATCACTAAGTGAAGGTTCGAGCCCATAAGGCACTTACACCTATTGCATAGTATTATATTGCCCATATATAAATATATATTTTCATTTCTTTTTTTGTCATGGTAAAATTTTGAAAATCTTGCGAGGGATTGTTGGAATTTTAAAAAGGTTTTAAAGATTTAACCATTTTATTTATTTAATTACTTTGGTTGTTTTATTTTATTTATTGTGGGGGTTATAAATATTTAATTTTCAGGTTTTATTTTTATATCGAATGCCTTAATTTTCAAGTTTAATGTGGTGAAGGTCACATGTTATTGGATGCCTATAAAAGGCCACTCATCCTTCACATTTGAACAACCACAATACACCATCAGAATATCACATACCACAATCACTATAATCTTATTGGATACCTATAAATATTTTTTTATTTGGCTTTACGGAAAAGAAAAACTATAATTTTATAACAAGAATAAGATGATATGAGTTGAAATATGCTTAGCATTTTCAAGTACCATAATCACCACTACAAAAAACACTTTGTGCGACGAAATAAGTTTTTTGCGCAAAGTACAATTTCGTCGCACAAAACCTACGCGACGAAATTTTGGTCGCGCATGATCCGTCACACAAATCTCATGAAGTAGGGTTTGCGTGATGAAACCTAATCTTTGTTGCGCAGAGCTACTTTGCGCGACGAATGCTAACGTCGCGCAAATATATGCGCGACAAAATATTTTTTGTGTTTTAAAATTTTTTAATTAAAATAAACTAATTTAATAGTTTGCGCTATGAAATATTTTGTCGTGCAAGGTTTTTGAATTTTTGTTTTATTATTTCCCTTATATTAATTTAATTATATTAATTTTTTCAAATTTTTACTTTTTAAATTTAATTTAATTGTATGATTTTTAATTACTTTAATTTAAATTGACATATTCAAAATAAAATTACATATGAAAAATAGTGATCAAATTATCCAATAAATATATATATAATATTCAAAATGTACACATGAATTAACAAAGTACAATAATAAAATCCTAATACAAGTCTATTTTGGTGGTAGTGGCGGCGGATATGTTTCGATAGCGTCCTAATCCTCCACTTTAGCCGTCAAAGTCTCGACAATTCCCTACAAAAAATAAATATGGTCAAATAACAAAAAATTGGCATAATCTCCCATAAAATTGTTATACCACAAATCCAACCCAAACTCCAATCATCACCCTATACTCAACCCCAAACCCCACACAAACTCAAAACTAACTCCAAAAACACATATTAATGAAGAAAAAAAAATAAATTTGGAGAGAATATACCTTTTGGCAAGATTGAGAGTGAGTGAGAATGAGAGGGAGAAGTGAGTGTGAGAGAATTAGAGAAGATAGTGAGAGAGAGAGAGATGAGAGAGTGAGTGAGAGTGAGAGATAGTGAAAAGAGAGATGAGAGAGTGAGTGAGAGTGAGAGATAGTGAAGAAAGAGATGAGAGATTAAGTGAGAGGAGTGTGTGTGAGAGAAAGGGTCAGATTTGGGGAGAGGGAAAGAGAGAGGAGAGGTAAGAGTAGAGAAAGACATTGAGAAAATGGTGGAGGAGTTATTTTGGTTTTTAAAACCATATAACTTTGTGTGATGAAAAATATTGGTCGCGCAAAGTCTTAAAAAAATTTATAAATAAAAAATAAAAAATTCCCACATGCCATTTTTTGTGAACGCCCAAATTTTTGAGTTTTACGCGATGAGTTGTTGGGGGCACAGAGTTTTGTGCGACCAAAAAATTCCAGCGTCCCTTTTTAGGTACCCACCCAAATTTTTAGGGTTTTGCGCGACAAACTGTTGGTCGTGCAAAGTTTTGCGTGACAAAAAATTGGTTCGTAGCGCAATATTTATAAAAATAATTGTTATGAATAATAAAAATAATATAGTTTTATTTTACGATTTAAAATATAAACAAGGTTAAGGCGACCAAATGTGTTCTCGTCGCGCAAAGAAAATAATAAAAAATAAAGAAATAATTTAGTTGAACAATATAAAATGTAAAAATAAGTAAATAAGGGTTAGGCGACGAAATATTGATATTCGTTGAGCAAAGTTTTCAAAAAATAATAAAAACTTATGTAAACAACTATATCTTAAAATTTATAACGTATAATTAAATAAAAAAATTAATTGGTTTTCCCGACGCATGTTTACATTATGATGTCATGCTATTGGTTTTTGCACAACGACCCCATTGTCATATTTTTATAAATAAAAAAATTATTATTATAAAGTTTACTGAAAATGTGACTTTACTCTCTTCAAATTCAACTTTTTTTTTATACACAAAACCCACAATAATATATTTTTCTAACAAAAACCCAATCCTAACTACAATAATAAATTTAAAGCTACTAATAAATATATATCCTATTCAATTTCTTAAGTGTTATACGTACAAAATAAATAAATTTAAAGCTACTTAATAAATAAATATATATATATACACACACACACACACACACCATTCAACGATCCAACCGTCAAGCTTGTTTGTATATATTTTAAGATTGTATACCCCAAAAATCACAAAAAACAAACAGTCATAAATCTAGTAACGGGACAAAACTTTTCGACGGTTATAAATGAAAAATCACGATTTAACAGTTGTTTTAACTCCAGTTTTGATGATTTTTTACGGCTACACTCCTTGACCCTATATGAATACAATGACTAAATTTGATCTTCAATTTAAAATATTTACACTACTGGATACCACAAAACCTTATGTTATATTTAACAAAAGTATAAATAAACTTTTAATTGTTAGTGAATATATTGTTTTGATGGCATATGCATTCTACGAAACTAGTTTCAACGATCCAACCGTCAAAATTTTTTTTATATACTTCAAGATCGTATACCCCAAAAATTGCAAAAAACAAACATTCAGAGATCTAGTAACGGGACAAAACTTTTCGACGATTATAAATGAAAATTCACGATTTAATGGTTATTTTAACTCCGATTGTGATGATTTTTTACAACTACACTCCTTGACCCTATATGAATATAATGACTGAATTTGATCTTCAATTTAAAATATTTACACTAGTGGATACCACAAAATCTTATGTTATATTTAACGAACGTATAAACAAACTCTTAATTGTTAATGAATATATTGTTTTGATGGCATACGCATTCTACGAAACCAGTTTCAAAGATCTAACCTCAAACTTGTTTGTTTATACCTCGAGATCATATACGCCAAAAATCGGAAAAAATAAACATTCAGAGATCAAGTAATTGGACAAAACTTTTTGACGGTTATAAATAAAAAATCACGATTTAACGATTATTTTAACTTTGATTTTGATGATTTTTTACAGCTACACTCCTTAACCCTATATGAATACAATGACTGAATTTGATCTTCAACTTAAAATATTTACACTAGTGGATACCACAAAATCTTATGTTATATTTAACGAAAGTATAAATAACTCTCAATTGTTAGTGAATATATTGTTTTGATGGCATACGCATTCTACGAAACTAGTTTCAACTATCCAACCGCCAAACTTGTTTGTTTATACTTCGAGATCATATACACCAAAAATCGAAAAAAGTAAACATTCAGAGATCAAGTAATGGAACAAACTTTCAACAGTTATAATTGAAAAATCATGATTTAACGGTTATTTTAACTCCGATTTTGATATTTTTTACAACTACACTCCTTGACCCTATATGTAACAACCCGGTCCTCAAATTAATATTTAATTATTAAATTATTCCAGTAAAAGACAATTATACCCCTAGAATACTTTATTGGTTTAAAAGTTGACTTTTTGACCGGGAAGTAATTTGGGGATTTCAATTATACCGTTGAGTAGAGCGCAACGAGAAGAGTCCGTAGACACGTAACGGGCTCAAATCGGAGTTGTAACGAAGGAGTTACGATCAAAAGAAGTTCAGTGGCATAATCGTAAATATTTCAAACTTCAGTTTATATAAACCCAGAAATTTCTGGGTTTCGCAGAGCTCGACCAGCCAGCTTCCCGGGGCGATTTCTCCCACCTCCGGTCACCGATTCAGGCAAGACCGGTCACGTTAGAACCACCACACTTTCCTCTTCCAGTCCCAGCCCATCTCAGTCTCGATCTGCCGTCGTGGTAGCCGGAAACCGCCACGAAACAGGGCGGTTTGGACAGTTTTTGACGGAATTTCGTGGAGCTCGTTCTCCCTCCTCCGGCCATCGTTTCAGACGAGTGAGGTATGGTTTTCTAGCTATTTTTCGTGCTCTAGCTGCTGGTTGGGTAGGATTTCAGAAATTTCCAGCGTAGATAGCTCGATTTACGAGCTAGGTTTCAGCAGGTTTCGGGTCACTGTTCCGGCCACTTCCGGCTAGTTTTTGGGGTAGTCCAAGAACAAAAGTGGTTCCAAATAGGGTGTTATACCTAGGATAGGAGTCTTGAACTTAGATGTTGAGTTTTTCTGGCGAGGCGTTATCGCTTAGGACACCCACGCGCTGCCGGCGCGTGTGGCGGCGCATGAGCAGATTGGTCGAGACCCCATTCAATTCCAGAATGATCCTTGGGTCGTCATGAGTGCGTAGAAATTCGCAGATCTTAATTCGGATACCGTTTGAACCCCGAACGGATCTCGCCTAGTGTGTGATTTCCGGGTTCACTAGTTTTGCACCGTTGGATCGTAACAATTTTCAGGTATGTTGATCTAGGTATTTCCAGGATCGTATAGTATTTGACGGATCGTAAAACGGAGTCCCGGATACTCCGAAAACGTCAGCCCTAGAGTATGTTTTACGGATAATTGAACCAGTTACAGGTCAGGGGCAGGTGAAAGAACTACGTGTGGCTTGATCCCTCAGAAAGGGTACGTAGGCAGCCTACAGTTACCAGGCGCAGCCACGAGATAGGGCCCCAGAGTTTGTGTTATCGCTTCCAGGGCATTTTGGTCATTTACGACCCACTGGCACTAGGTGTCAGTTTTGCACAGGATTCGACCCGGATTCCAAAGTGGAATTTGGGTCAGGTCGTCTCACTATATGAATACAATGACTGAATTTGATCTTCAATTTAAAATATTTACACTAGTGGATACCACAAAATCTTATGTTATATTTAACGAAAGTATAAATAAATTACTTTTAATTATTAGTGAATATATTGTTTTCATGACATACGCATTCTACGAAACTAGTTTCAACGCAAACTTATTTGTTTATACTTCAACATCATATATGACAAAGATCGGAAAAAAATAAACATTCAGAGATGATTTAATGGGACAAAACTTTTTTACAGTTATAAACGAAAAATCACGATTTAACGATTATTTCAATTTCGGTTTTGATGATTTTTTATAGCTACACTCCTTGACCATATATGAATACAATGAACTAATTCGATCGTCAATTTAAAAAATATATTTTCTAACAAAAACTCAATCCGAACTACAATAATATATTTTTCTAACAAAAATCCGATCCAAACTAAAATAATAAATTTAAAGCTACTTAATAAATATATAGACCGTTTAATTTCTTAAGTGTTATGCATACAAAATAAAAAACAAATATAAATTGGTTTAGGTGACAAAATATTTGGATTACATCATGCGAAGATTTTAAAAAATAATTTTTTTATTTTATTTATTTTTGTAAAGACTTTGCTCGACGAAACACACTTCGTCGCTCAAGACTTTGTGCAACGAAGTATATTGTTTTGTCACGCAAAGTCACTTTGAGCGATGATGTTTTGTCGTCGTGCAAAAGTTTGTCGCGCAAAGAGACTTTGTGTGGTGATGTGTGTTTCGTTGCGTAAAATTTAGTCTCATAAGACTTTGAGCGACGGAGTTTTTGAGTTTTGTCGCGCAAAGTGATTTTGAGCGACGAATTATTTTTCGTCATGCAAGATTTTTTTTTTACTAGTGAACGTTGAAACTGATGCACATGCACACAAGAAGGCAATTTTATCTTTCTATTAACCCAAAACATAAATTTACCTTTTTTCTCTTCATATAGAGTCGCAATTATTTTCCAACATGGAGAAGTCTACGTAACATAAATAGTGTAGTTCAAGATCTAACTTCGGGACTAGACGGTAATGTCATAGAACAGCAGGTATAAACTTTAAATTCGTTCTTATCAAATTATAAAATTAAGTAATTTTGTACTAAATTCTTTTGCATTACGTACAAGACAATCTAAATTTGCATGGCAATGGCAGAAGTAATACATTCCACCAAAGATGGCAAAGCTGATCTATGGCTGCTCATAATGCAAAGAATATAAATTATTGCCGACAGTGGAGTGTTTTTTAAGTGCTTTTATAGGATGAAGTATTCCTGAGGAACATGTACTGTGATTATGAGTTCACTAAGAATTTGAGAGCGAATACTCTAATTAAGTGTATTGGCAAACTTGAATGTTTTAATATGAATCGTATTCTAATTTTTCTTATGAATTTTCATTGGCTTTTTATTTTCCGCCACTTTCTCATGTACAAAAGAGAGGTCATATTGACACATATGGATGCCATAAGAAATAGACTTCATATTTGTACAGCAATCCCCAACATGTACATTATCCTTATTCTCAAACAAAACAATTGCAATCTCTCCGTCTGATAAGTATATATCATATATGGTTTTTTTTTAATAAAATGAAAAGAATTACAATGATACAGGTGATGAACAGAGAGCCCCATACATAAATTTGAGTAAACCTGTCCTCAATTCAGACCAAAAATGGACTTAAAGTAGTTTTTTGTTGGTTCATTTTTTGTTTATGTGATGATCACAGATCTTACGTTGCTATTGCTGGAGCCAATTCCTCAAAAACACCATTTTTTATTTATTGTAAAATCTGAGTATCAAAGAAACCACAGAGTTTTTACCAAATCGAAATTCAACAAAATAGAAAGCACCATATAATGAATGGTTACACTCCTAATAACATCGAGGTCTTTTGTATAAAACTCTCTGATCCTAAGTCAACTCTAAGCCCTCAAATGTTATCTTCAAATTCAAACACAAACCCTACATGAATTTGCACCCAGTTCATTAACTACATGAATTTGCTCCTTTACAAGACACAAACCAGTACACCTTCAATAATCAACTCGTCAATAGTCAGTCAAAGTAGCTACAAGATAGATAAAAATAAATAATCAAGATAGATCAAAATAAATCGTCAGATTAATTTAGAAAAATCCATAAACAGAGTGCCTCAAATTAACTAACTCCAAAAACAAGAACAACTGAACAATTAATTAAGTGTTTAACATCAACATCTACACAGAGTTTGTGAAGGGAAACCTTCGTATTCCCCTCCCTGATCTGTTCTGTTATAATGCGGGGGAAAAAGGCTGCAAAATTTTCGCGTGGTTGTGACAGGTTGTTGGCTCTAAAGATCTCTAAAATTGCCTTGCGGCGGCACCATAAACGTAAGCTCGCCAAACAGCTTCACCCCTAATCTCGCCGCCCCATAACAACCGCGGCTGCCGACTCCCATTAGTAATTCATTTGCCATGTCCTTGCCCACATATGACCTCACCATTGCTAGGCTGAAGTTATGGTGGTCTGGCTCATCTTGGTTAAAGGTGGAAGAGGCAATGGCGTCATTGCGAGAATGAGGTTGTCCTTCTTCTCCTCGTCCCCATAGAAGACTCCCACCCGGAAGTTGTTGTAAGAGATGCCCAGTATGTAGTTGGGGTTAATAAACACCAGGCTCAGGTCCCCTATGACGGTGAAGTACCAGTTGTTGTTGTTGGAGGAGCCACTCGCAGCAGCAACAGCAAGACTCGGGGTGAGTGGGCACGGGGGACACAACTACTGAGTCAAGCCGGAACTCGGGGAACCTGACGTCTAGCCAGCGGTCCTGCAACGCCATAAAGTATCAATGTATACACATACACGCGAAAATGCCCACCATTAAGAGGATGGGCCAGACATTGCGAAGTCTACAACATTCGGAGAACTCCTTTCTCTTCTTGGAGAGGAGGCGCTTAGCAACTTCTTCCATTTGATTATTAATATCACTAGAAAGAAAAATTTGAGAGATTTGAGAGTGTATTTTTTCCCATCTCATTAAAGTCCTATTTATAGAGAATCAGTATCTCTAATATCCAAGTCGTACATAGGAATTGGAGATCTTGGAGAGAAGGTTTTTTTTTTTTTTTTTTGTTTGGGGTCAAAACAATAATGGTTTCTTTACTTTCTATTTTTTATTCCACAGCTTTCCGATTCCAAAGGTCGCATAGAGAAGGGGGTACAATGTCGCTATCAAATATAGGTAAACAACTTACCTATAATTTACGTATTTTTTATATATAAAATATGTACCTTTTTTTTTATATTATTGTGTACCTATTATTTTTGGTGAATAATAATGTACTTTTCTGTACCTATTTAAAGAATTTTAAAGTAATTATTTATCATATACAGGAAAGGTAAATTTAGTTTACATGAGTACAAAAAATTTAAAGTCATTATAATGTACCTAGTCAATAAGTGAAGAGCACCAAACCTCAAGAGAAATTATAGAGTGGTACGGTATCCCCACATCAGCTTGTTAAACTCTTGTTCAAAATTTTCTACATGTCTAAATTTTTACCAACTGGATTTAACCCTTATATTTATCTTTAAAATTAGAAAACTTAAAAATAAAAATAAAATAAAACATGCAATCACCTCCCTGGATTTAACCATTATTATTCCAATACAACCATGAATTAAATTAAAATAGGAAACTTTTTTTTATTTTATATATAACTATAATCAAAATAGGGAATACTCGCCATTACTGACAAATCTTGGTAAGCTTAAAAAATGGTTGAACCTGTTTTTTATTTTTTTATTTTACTATAATCAAAATAGGAAATACTCGCCTATTGTATTAAGATTTGATATTATATGTGTTAATGCAATTTTATTACCTATAACCGACGGCTGTTTATCCTATGTCCAAGTGTATCCCTATTGATCAAGCAAATACTTGTTTTTAAGTAACCACTACCGGTCACTTATGCATGGGTAACGTAAGGAGTTTGTAGATCAAATGGTTATGAAGATTTAGCCCTACATTCAAGGTTCTATGTTCTTTTCACCAACATTGCTTGTATAGAAAAAACAACGCATTTCAAACTTTACTCCAAGCGCCTGACAATTACATACAAATATTGATACATAGAAGTGCAGGGCATAATCTAACCATGATACATAAAGCAACTGACAAGATAATTAAGCTACACCAAACTGTGTTCTTCTGAAGTGTCAACAAAGCATTTTTCACTGACGATGCCAATCACTTGACATGGCTCAAGAACCACCCCAGCAAGTCTTGATGAGCCTCCTCTGCAGCCTTAACAGCTGCTTCGTCTTCATCGTTGTACCTCAAGGTCCATCCATGTACCACTTTTGGGAATATCTTCACATGGCTTTTAATCTGCAGTTCCATAAAACAGTCATTCCGACAAGTATAAAGTTTTCAACAAAACGAAAAAAAATCAGAAGTCATCCCGAGGACCAAGGAATGTGCATGATTAAAATCATTAAAATTATATAAGACTTTTGATGAAGGGTATTTCCCACCTCAGGTTTTGCAGATAGAACCTCTTCAAATTGCTTCACGACTTCTGGTGGAGACAGCTGATCAATCTCAGCTCCAAGTACAGAAATGGGAACTTTAACAGCTGAAAGCAGTTCCAGGAATGGATCAATAAACTGAGACTAAAATATTGGTAATCTTTCTTGTGAAAATTGAAAAACCACATTTTTTTTCCCTCTTCCTCTAATATCTCCACACTTGAACAGTAATTTGAGTGCTTCTATTAAGATCTTTTTTAATCTGAAGAAAATTCTTACCTTTGATATCATCCACAGTGACGAATGAAGGATGGCACAGAACAGCAGCTTGGATAAAGTCATGCTTTGCAAGTTCAACCACACCCTTGCCTGGGAAGTTGGAACATGGCAAATAAACCAATGTCAACTGAAACAATATGTGACATATTGGTTGAATCAATGAATTGAAAAATCATCTAAATGAACTCACCCCCCCCAACAGAAACCTACAGCACCAATTGCAGAAACGCCTTTACTTTTTAAAGCTTCGATTACTGGTTTTGCATCTTCGATTGTCTTGTCCTGGCAATATAAAAACAAGAGCTCAGAAGCCACAAGTATTAACAATGCTTGTACACTCGACAATTCCATATCAACTTTTAAAACACCACAATTTAAGATCCTAGTATATTTTTTGTCACAATAGGTGGAAACAACCTAGAGTTCAAAACCATATAAAGTCTAAAACAGCAACAATAATGGGACTGCCAAACTGAATCCACGCACATGTTCAACTTCAAGCAGCCCAAAATGAGAATTTCCCAGCAAGTATCTAAGTTTTATTTAAATTCAAGAATCACATAGGGTGACTTGTGAAGGTACTTAAATTACAAATAAACAAAATATTTAGAGATCTGCATCAAAACAAAAGAACCAACCACTCCATGAGCTTTTATCCAAACAGGGAGAGAGGCAAGGTTCCCATCAAAAGGGTCTCCGTTGAAGAAGTCAGGGAGCACAACAATGAACCCAGCAGCTGCAATTTTGTCCGCGAGCTTCCTTCAGAAGAGAAGGCAGGTTGCTTTGGTTAAATGGCATATGGTATATGGAAACATGCAAACTAAAGGTGAATAGCACAATTGTTCTTCGAAAATAAAATCTCTGACGTCTTCTAAGCATTAGGAGGTAGGAAGCTGGATAACTGCTGTATCTGATAGACAATCTGAAACTAATGATTGTTCTTCAAAGTTTAGTTGCATATAGACCTATCACGACCCTTAAAATTGTACTTTTCAAGTAAAATATTTCAAAGAATCCAACAAGTCATCAAATTTAATCAGAAAGTTTGATTCAAGGCCCAAAGTTGATATTAGACAATGGACAACATAAGAAAGGTACAGATCCAAGAAAAAGTAATTCAGAGAACAGATATGGGAATAAATCATACCTAGCTTTTGGAGTTTCATATCCTGCATGGCAAAACACCGTGTAATATTATTAACAAGTAAATAGTAGATTACAAGACGAAGTAAACACACAGAGGAAAAAAATATGAAGCTTTGGCATGTTGCAAATCAGTTACAAATATTCATTTTGATGACCAAATTCAATATTATCAGGGCACAGAAAAGAAAAGATGATCCACACGCATAGGCAAAGGTTAAAAAGGGAAAATGACAAAAACTGATTCCTTGATCAGTCAACCAAACATATTCAGAGCACCCATTAAACCAAAAACACACAAAGACACCTCCAAGACACAGTAAGGCAACTAAACCCAAATCATATATTGAACAAAAGATGCAAAGGACTAAAACAAGACAAAAAAGAAAGAGTTTTGAAGTGATGGGTAAGTACCAAAAGCGTCATGGACGAGAAGAATGGCAAGCTTAGAGTCAGGGGAGCCAGTGACATAGGAATTGAAACCACCAAGCTTTTCAACATGGCCGGAGCCACTTGATGGGTTCAGGGCTGGTGGGTTTGAGCAGCACTGAGGGCCTGACATGATTTCTTTCTTATTCTCCGAGTCACAAAGCACACACTCTTTGTCAGTGTTCAATTGAGCAAGGACGGCAGAGGTGTTATAAGAAGGGAAAATTTTTCTCCGGTCAATAAAAGTTTTGGAAGCTCAGACGTGGCCAACAAATTTATCAACTTTTGACTTGTGGTGGAAAGTTGAAAGGTCAATGGATTCAAGCTGCTTGCTTGGAGTCTGTGAGCTTGGCAACGAAGAAGACGTCCTCCTGCTATGGCAAATTGGCAATGTCGCTTGGCTAACCAACGGTTTCTATTTTGAGTTGGTTAAGTTGACTCTGCTTTCCTTCTCTATGCCAAATTACAGAAATGGTTTATTTTGTATAGTTTGATTAAGATTTCCGCTGTCTAACGGCTGGATTCATTGGAGGTCTTTGAACTTTAACCCGGTTTTCACTAAGGCCATCTCCAGCCATAGGGCTAAATATAGTTCCGGGCTACAAATTTAGTCCCCAAAATATTAATTTTTTAAAGAATAGTGCAAAACTAAATTTTTCCATCTCCAGTCATGCATGACTATATTTTAGGGTCCTTCATATTTTATTATTCTGAGAAAGGAAAGTGGGGAGTGCTTTAATGTTTGGTGGTTGAAAAGCACATGGTGGGGCCCACTATGAATTTGGCCTAGGCCAAAGCTGGGCTACATTTGGCCCGGTTGGAGGGCTAAAGGGCCAAATGTGGCCCTCCAAATTTGGCCAAAATTTTATTTAGCCCATGACTAGAGATGAATTTTGCATTATTTTATGGCTATATTTGGGATATAGCCCATGGCTGGAGATGGCCTAACGTTAGCTAATTTCTGCTAATTTTTGATAGACCACTAAAATGACTTGAATGTTCAACATGTGTAGGGGTTATGGTCTAAATTGAGTCGGTTTCACACGAAAACCACAACCGAACTAATTTTGGTTCAATAATTTATTACCATTAAAATTCATTGTGGATAAACATTTAATATTTATGTGTTTTTTTTTTTTTTTTTTTTTTTTTTTTTTTATTTAAGAAATAAATGTTGTGTGCACAAACATTGGAACTTCTCTATATTTGTTTAGGGGCGGGGCCACTTGAAATGATGTCATGAATGACCTAAGCCTAACGCGAAAAGTCGAAAAGAACAAAACTTCAAACCCATTACAATAATTAAAAAATCATTCTTTATGAGCATAAGTTGGAATCTATCAAAGAATCATACCACTCACCAAACGCCAAACTTAAGATGCTTCAGAAAATAAGGGTCCACATCTACAACTTCAACTCCACCATTTCTTGCAAAAATATAAGCACCACATAGTTCTCATCTTACATGACAGTTTCTTACTTGAATGATGAATATCCCATTTGGTATTCACTTTAAACAATGCATTTCAAACCTATACTCTCCTCCAAGCAACTAAATTTACATATAATGGTACCTAAACTGCAGGCATTATTGTGATCCAAAGTAAATAAAGTGCAGTTGATAAAATGAGGTCCAAACTGTTCTCATCTTAAGTGATAATGCAAAGCTTCATAGTGATGATAGAATTCACTTGACATGGTTCAAGAACCACTCCAACAAGTCTTGATGAGCCTCTTCAGCAGCCTTAACAGCTGCTTCATCTTCAACATTGTACCTCACAGTCCACCCGTGTGCCACTTTTGGGAAGATCTTCACATGGCATTCAATCTGCGTGTCCATAAAACCAACAGTTATTCTACTAACTTTAAATTTTTATCACTATCAGCTACAACAGTGGTACTTTTTTACCCATCAATAAGGCCATGAGTTAAATTAAAGCAGGCATTTGTTGTGTTCCCAAAATTTCTCAAAAAATAAAATAAAATGTTGATCACCAGTAATGATAAGGTGGGGAACTCATACAAGATGGTATAAGACTGGTCCGAACAATGCATGACACACCATATAGATAAGTCATTTCTCCATCAAGTTGAGATAGCAGATCACATTTTGACTTGTGCCCACTTAAAAGGAAGAATGGTTACTGAAAAACAAAAGTGGGCACAAGTCGAACCGTGGTTTTGAAAGATTTTGTAAGGCCAAGTTCTACCCATAACTTATGAGTCATGACATAATTCTACATATAGCACGACATTAAAGATTGACAAAATCTTAATTCATTTCAAGGACTAAGGGATGTCCATGATTAAAATCAACAAAGACATTAGACTTTCGATTAAGGATATAACCTACCTCAGATTTTGCAGTTAAGGCCTCTTCAAATTGTTTCACGACTTCAGGTGGAGACATCTTATCAATCTCAGCTCCAAGTATCGAAATGGGAATCTTAACCGCTGAAAGCAATTCCAGGAATGGATCAATAAACTGACTGAATTTTTTTTACTTTATTTTTTTCAACAATTAGAATGCCAGAGTTCTCTTCATTTAATATCTCCCCAGTCGAAATCAATAACAATTCAAGTGCTCCTATTTTCACTTTTTAGTGTCAAGAAAGTTCTTATTACCAAATAACCCTCAAAGAGATTTACTTAAACATCCCCTCAAACAATTTTTTTTCTGTGTTTTCTTTGCAGTGCTATTCTCACCAACAATATTATTGGGGCAACAGGGTTTATGTGTAGAAAGGAAAAAAAAAAATCTTATTTTTGCTGGTAGGCACAGAGAGAGTGAGTGTGAAGTGACATTTTAGCTGCAAATAGAAGCACCCTATTGATTATAATTATTACAATATGATTACACTAATTACGTAAATATTTCCTGAATATTAAATACAACAATCTTACCCTTGATATCATCCAGAGTGACAAATGAAGGATGACACAGAACAGCAGCTTGGATAAAGTCATGCTTTGAAAGCTCAACAACAACCTTGGCTGGAAACAGCACAAATAATTCAATGTCAACCGAAACAATATTTCCAATATTGGGTGAATTGAACTAATGAATTAAGAATGAGAAATAATCCAAAAAGGGAAAAGACAACTGTAGAAATATGAGACATTTTGTTAAACTGAAAAAGAAACTAGTAAATAAAAAAATAAAGAAATAAAGATACAGAAACGGAAAATGAACTCACCCCCATAACAGAATCCTGCAGCACCAACTGCAGAAACACCTTTACTTTTTAAAGCTTCAAGTACTGGCTTTGATTCTTCGAATGCCTTGTCCTGTTCGGAAGCTCAACATTTTAACAATACTCTCACACTCAACAGTTGCATTTTAAAACAACACAAAATCAGAATTTTTTTTCCTTTTCGTCAAAAAGGTGGAAGCAGCAGTTAAAAACCATATAAACTTCAAAAGAAAATAATTGGACTTCTAAGCTGAACCCACACACATTTTCAACTTAAAGAAAGCCAAAATTAGAACTTCGCAAAAAGTTCTGAAACTTTTGTGTGAATTCAAGAATCACACTGTAAAAGTACTTAAATTATAAATAAACAAAAGAAATCTTGGCCTGCATGATAAGAGAACCCACCGGTCCATGATCTTTTAACCAAGTAGGTAGATTGGCATAGGATCCATCATCTCCGGGTACAAAAGGGTCTCCGTAAAAGAAGTCAGGGACCACAACAAAGAAGCCAGCAGCTGCAACTTTGTCTGCCAGCTTCCTTCACAACAGAAGGCAGGTGGCATTAGTTGTATCTCATATTATGAAATCATACAAATGATATAATGATTGATCAGGTGAATAACACAACTGTTCTCCGAAAAAAATCTCCAATGTTAGAAACTAAAAGGACGAACGATCCTTCATTATGGTACAGTGTCCACACTCAAAATACAGTTGCTACATCTGATACACAGTCTGAAGCTAATGGTTGTAACTATTGTCACAATTTAGTTACACATAAATCTAATATAATCTTTTTAATTTCTCCCTTAACGATTATACTCTTTAATTAAGTTATTTCAAAGTGTTGACTAAGACATCAAATTTAATCAGCAAAGTGTGGTTGGTGGTCCAGAATTGGTATTAGACAAGGGAAAAAATTTAGAAACAAGTTCAAATTCAAGAAAAATCGATTCAGAGAACTTATCTATCACACTATGCAAAAGAAATAAAGTAGCTACAGGAAAACAGATGCGGGAGTAAGTCATACCTTAAGTTGGGAGCGTCATATCCTGCATGGAAAATCAACATGTACTATTAGCAAGTGGTGTGGTGTCCTGACAATATATCAAAGCAAGCAATTATAGTAGAGGCGGATGGCTTGAAGTTGAAGAAAGGAAGAATTGAAACTCAATTATTTTACACTAATACCGCCACTTCCTTCGCCCCAGTTTCGGATTCGCAACTGGGAACAAACGGGGAAAGAAGGAAGGAAGAAAGAAACAGAAACCGGGGACACAAGTAAACATACAAAGGCAAAAAATAAAGCTTTCATCACAAAGCAGTTACGAATTTTTTAAATTGAGACTAGCAAGATTTTTATTTTTATTTTTAAAGATAATCCAAAGACGAAAGGGGAAAAGGGAAAATTCAGAAAATGATTCCTTCATCAGTCAACCAAACATACTCAGAGGAGCGATTAACAAACACAACTGAAAAACCAGTACCCAATAAACCAAAAACACCAACAGATCACTCAAATACACAGTTAGGCACATGAACTCATATCATATAATGAAGAAACAAATGCAAAATACTGAAACAAATGAAGAAAGATAGATTTTTGAGTGGTGGGTGGGAGGAAAAATACCAAAAACGTCAGAGGCGAGAAGAATAGCAAGCTTGGAGTCAGGGGAGCCAGTGACATAGGTGTCCAGACCACCGAACTTCTCAACATGGCCAGAGCCGCTGGATGGGTTCAGTGTTGGTGGGTTCGAGCAGCACTGAGGGCCTGACATTTGTTTGTTTTTCTCTAGACCACAAAAATGCGCACAGTCACACACTCTCTCTGCCTCTCTATTCGAATGAGCTAAAAGGTTACGGATGAAGGCAAAAGGTTAAACTACCACAAAAAAGAAAAATGAAAAAAGTGTGTGTACGTTTGACTAACGACTGACTTCGACCACAAAAAAAAAAAAAAAAAAAAAAAAAAAAAAAAAGGAACAACGACTAGTCAAAGTTTTGGAATTTAAGAAGCCGGGTGGAAATTTATGGGCAGAGAACGTCGAAAGCAGGAGCCCATCTATGGCACCGTCTGTTTCTTTCTTTATCTGGCATTTCTGCTTTATCTTGTATCTTGATTGGTCTTTGGCTGTGTTGTATGCGTGTTTGTAGTCCCCTACTAATTGGACTCCTGCTTCTGTATTTGCTTGCGCTATTTGCGCCTTGGTATTGATTTCCAGTTCCCCAAAAAAAAAAAAAAAAAAAAAAAAAAAAAAAAAAAAAAAAAGAGGGGGGGGGGGAGGTGGGGAAATGGATTTTGATGGATTGAAATTGAAAAAGTATAACTCCAATGATTCGTATCCACCTCCGATTATAGCAAATATTTTTCCTCACCATTTTAATCCTATTTTCTGTTTAAATGAGATAAAATAACTTAGAATTTAATTAAAATTTAGAAATATAAGAGGAGAAATTGACAATTTCTTTGTTTGGCAACTTAAGCGCGTAATTTGTTTGGCAACTTAAGCGCGGAATTTATTAAATGATACATGGAAAAAATCATGGAAATTGGAGTATTAAATTCCCGAATTTAATTTCTACCAAAATAGGCATCATTTCACAGTTTTCATAGTGTCATTTACAAAATTCTGTAACTTACAGTGTTGACACTGTTTGTATGGAAAAAAAAACATTTATAGTGTTTTATAAATATTTGAACTTTACCCATTTTAATAACACTCTATCTTCAATTTTTAATATTTGCAAGGGTTTGTAGCTCAAATAGTAAGCATTTCTCTTCACACTTGAGGTCCTAGGTTCAATTTCTCCCTTCTCCTTAATATTGCTTGTATAAAAATAATAAAAAACACTCAAGTCACCACTCTATTGAAGGAAGTCCTAACTTGACAATTCCGTAACACCAAAGTTGGTGAGTTTCTGAAGTGTTGAATGTATCGGCCTTCCTATCCCTTCCACACCTAAAAAACGAAAATGATTGAACTAGAATTCTAAGGTGGAACAAATGTCCTTTTTTTTATTCAAGGGCATCACTTTATTGCAAAAGACTTAATAGCTTGGCTAAGAGCATTCACCCTGCACTCGAAGTGCTGAGTTCAAATTCCTCCTTCCACAATATTATTTGTTTCCCAAAAAAGATGGCGTATCAATTATTATAAAATTATGATGTCTGTATAACTCTCATTTTTGGCAAGGCATAGGACATTTCCAGTGGTAGATGGATGCGGAGAAATGCAAAGGATCAGGAAATGCAGTCGGTGTTTTTTTCTAGCTACACAGAGGCCCAAGCCACAACCAAAAAGTTCTTTAAATACATATATTGTAACATAAAAGTCCAGGTATGGTTCAAGAAACACTACAGTGATGATCTGATTCCCTTGACATGGTTCAAGAACCACTCCAACAAGTTTTGATGAGCCTCCTCAGCACACTTAACAGCTGCTTCGTCTTCAACATTGTACCTCACGGTCCACCCGTGTGCCACTGTCGGGAATATCTTCACATGGCTTTTAACCTGTGATTTACATAAAACCAACAGTTGTTTCAACAAATTTGAAATGTCTCACTACCAGCTAGCTACCACAGTGGTGCCTCTTTCCCCATCAAGGTCTTGACAGTCTATGAACCCTAATTTGAATAGGGTGTTTTTGGTATCTTCCTATCGTTTCTTAAAGAATAAAGAACAAAAGTAAAATGTTTTTGAAGTTCAAACAAAATGGTATCTGAACTTGTAAGGAAAAGTTCTACCTATAACTATAAGCCATGGCATAATTATACGCCATAATATATAAGAAAAACAAAGGCACTAGTAATGAAGATTGTTTGGATCAAAGATACTCCTACCTCAGACTTTGCAGTTAAAACCTCTTCAAATTGTTTCACGACTTCAGGTGGGGACATATGGTCAATCTCAGCTCCAAGTATAGAAATAGGAACCTTAACATCTGAAAAAAGTAGTTCCAGGAATAGATCATTAAACTGTGACTGATTTTTACCTTGTTTTATTTATTTATAATCTTCCTCAAATATCTGCACACTTGAAAACAATAATTAGTGAGAGAAGAATATATATATATATATATATATTTTTTTTTTTCAAAATTTGCTGGTAGGCATAAAGGGAACAGGTGTAGCACCCTAATTGTGATACTTGTTTAAAATGATAATTATACTAACTAGGTAGGCATTTTCTGAATATTACATACAGAAATCTTACCCTTGATATCATCCACAGTGACAAATGAAGGATGACAGAGAACAGCAGCTTGGATAAAATTGTGCTTTGCAAGTTCAACCACAACCTTACCTGAGAACAGCACAAAAATCTATGTCAACCGAACAATATTTTCCATATGGGTTGAACTAATGAAATGCGGGTGTGATAAGTAAAAAGACTTCATAAATTTTAGCACCAAAAAAAAAATCTAAACAGGAGACATTTTTGTTTCAATGCAAGGCAAAATGAAACATAGTGATGAAGATGTTAATGAGAAGGGAAAATTAACTCACCTCCCCAACAGAAGCCTGCAGCACCGACTGCAGAAAAACCTTTCCTTCTTAAAGCTCCAAGAACTGGTTTTGCATCTTCAAATCCCTTGGCCTATCAACAAAAATAGATTCAGACGCCAATTTTTTTTACAATACTTGAATAATCCAATATTGATAGCAACTTTTGTAATACCACATTATCAGGGACACATATTTAACATTGTCGCAAAATGTCCCAGCAGTGAACAACTTTAAAAAGTTTAACATAACCACAGTTATTGGACTGCCAAACTTTCTTATGACTGCCAAGCTGAATCCGTAAACATAAGGATCTGAAATTTTTATGCAAACTCAATGATACTTGTAAAAGTACTTGGGTTATAAAACAGAACAAAATAGATCAACATAAAAGTAAAAGTAATAGCAAAAGAACGGACCGGTCCATGATCTTTTATCCAAACAGGTAGAGGTCTATTGGCATCTTCAGGTGCATAAGGGTCTCCGTACAAGAAGTCAGGGACAACAACAAAGAACCCAGCGGCTGCAACTTTGTCAGCAAGCTTCCTTCAAAATGGAAGGCAGTTTGCATTAGTTCAAGAGTGTAGAAGATTATGGAATCATGGAAATGCGATTCTACACACATTTGTCCTTCAAAGAAAATCTCTGATGTCAGTAACTGCGAGGATAAATTTTCATCCTCATATATATTACAGAGTGAACACTCTAAATAAAGGTAGGGATCTTCAAAGCATCAGAAAACCTCAAAAAGGCATGGAATTTGACCGTTGTTATATCTGATAGACAACCTGAAATTAATGGGAGGGAATTCGACCGTTGTTATATCTGATAGACAACCTGAAACTAATGGCTTTGTAACTATTTTTCAAGATTTAGTTACATATAGACCTATTATAACCTTTTTTTAACCCTCAATGACTCTACTCTTCAAGCAAATTATTCCAAAGTGCACACCAAGTCATCAAATTTAATCAGCAAGAGTAACTGCTGGCCAGGAGTCGATATTAGAGAAGGGACTGTTCGAACTATATGCACTAACAATAAATACGCTGTAAACAATGTGAAACATATATGAGAATAAGTCATACCTCAAGTTTGGAGCTTCAAATCCTGCATGACAAAGCAACATGTAATATTAAAAGTAGTGTGGTGGTATAACATCACAGCAAACAATTATATAAGATGATTTGGATAATCAGATACAAATGAATAATCGTATTTTAAAAAGAACATTCTTTCTCAATTGACAGAGAAAATAAAAAAAAGATAAGTATCCCACTAAAAGTACACACAAAGGCGAAAATAAAGTTTTGATATCATAAAAGTATTTTCATAACCAAATTGAACATAATTGAAGCTAGATTATCAAACATCATGAAGGACGCAGATAACCCACAAAGGGAAAGGGGAAACGAAAATGACATAAACTGATTCCTCCAACCTTCAGCAGTAAACCAAACAAAATCAGAGCATCCATTAACATGCACAGCCTAAAAATCAGTGCCCATTGAACCAAAAACCCATCAAATGCACAATAAGGAAAGAACAACAAAACCCATATCACACAATGAAGTAAAAATGCAAACTATTAAACCAAACGAAAAGAAAAAAACAACAGAGACAGGTTTTTGAAATGGTGGGCAAGTACCAAAAATGTCAGAGACGAGAAGAATAGCAAGCTTGGAGTCAGGGAAGCCAGTGACATAGGAGTCGAGACCACCAAGCTTTTCAACATGGCCGGAGCCACTTGATGGGTTGATGGTTGGAGGGTTTGAGCAGCACTGAGGGCCTGACATCCTTTCTTCTTCTCTGATCACAAAATGCACGAACACACACCACTGTGTGTCAAAGGCGTGAACTTTCTAAGTAATTAGGAACTTGGAAAGGTGTTGTCTTGTTTATTTTTTTGGGTCAGAATCAAAATCGAACTTTGCAGCTACAACAGCCTAAAATTGGAAATTTTAAGAAGAAAGGCGGTGCCCCATTTGTTTGCATCATCTCAAACGTCACCAAAAAGTTGGAAGTATATGCGTGGCTGAGTTACACGTCTATAGAATCTCGGAAACATGGAACTTGGTCATCAATTTCATGTTTTTGTTCACAAGGCGGGACTAATCCGAAAATAAATAAATAAACTAACAAAGAGCACTTCGGATCGATATTCGGTCTAATCTATCATCATCTAAAATAAAAGCAAAGAAGTGAAGAAGACATCAAAACTGTGCAAACCCAAAGACAAATTGTGCCCCGTAACATTTAGATGATAACAACACAAACATGATTGTGCTCCTTATAAACATAAGTTAGGCGACATAACCATATTCCTGATAAAGAAGTTAAATTAAACAGAGTGTGAATTCACAACATCATAAGTGACTATATGAACTGTAACTTGAAAATCACACTCAAGAGAAAGAAATTATGAATTTCATTACCTTGAAAAAAGAAATTAAAATTTATTAGTTAAATAGGTAGAAATTTTTTTGGCTCATTATGAACTTTCCAAATATGATTTTACAAACCAAACCATTTGCTATGTGTGCTGATAGTACAGGCCACTTGCTCAGTCTCAATGTTTCATACACAATCATATACTATTATTCAGTGCATTCAAACTCTAAGAAATGCCTAGAAAGACTATGTGGATACATCATTTTATTCTCACCCACCTGCCCACATCTTCAAATTTCACCTCTATCATGAAGTAAGAGAGTTTGCCAAGGCCCTTAGGGTTGTGGAGGCTTCAAAAGCTCATCATCTTTATACATGCCACAATAGTTGCAACCCTGTTGCCAATTCTTTTGGGTAGTTTGGTACCAACAACCTTTTTCAGTTGACATACTTGGTAAACCAATTTAACATGTCCAAATGAGCCTCTTCAGCACTCTTGACTGCTGATTCATCCTCAGCATTGTACCTTGTTGTCCATCCATGAGCCACTCCAGGAAATATTTTCACAAAGCTATTAAACTGAAAACAATATAAATGATAGAGTGAATTTTGATACCAAAGGTAGAATCTGTAAAAGCCAAAACTAATATGAATATCTGATGTAAAAAGATAACTTCTTTAGTTATAAATATTTATAATAAAAAATAAAAATAAAAAATAAAAAACTGGCAGAAAGTTTATTTTATTACTTCCACAGAAGTTGGAATTTGAAAGAGATGATTCTATTTTCTTGTTTAACAAAGGCTTTTTGAGTACCAATTTTAAGTCTTGAAACTAAAGGATGCTACCTAGGCTTCATCTAGATGCTGGAAAGGAGAGCCAGCAGTACCATAGTAAATATGAGTAGTTTTTCTGAGGGATTCTTACCTCAGATTTAGTTGATAAAATCTCTCCAAAATGTTTCATTTGTTCCGGGGGTGAAGTTTTGTCAATCTCAGCTCCCAATATTGCAGTTGGAACCTTAACCTCTGTACAAGCATGTTGCTAATTAATTGGTAACAAGTACTTCTGATGATGAGTTTAAAAGCAAGAAACTTACCAACTATTTCCTCATCTGTCAACCGACCAGGGTGCAAAATTACAGCAGCTTGAATGTCATTGGTCTTTGCTAGTTTCACCACCACATTCCCTGAAGCAAATGTGATGCAATGCAAGCCACATTTTATCAGCTAAACCACTCTCTGCTCTCTATAGACAACTAGTTTACCCTAAAGTTAGAAGGCTTAATTACCTCCCCAACAAAAGCCTGCAGCTCCTATGGCAGAAATGCCTTGACTCTTCAGAGCAGCAGTCACTAGTTTGGCATCTTCATATCCTTTCTCCTAAAGCAGTCCAAAAGACATAACCAATATATAAACTGTTCCTTTTCTGCTTTGGTTGTAAACCATAAATGCACAATTCATTTTTCTTGATTCTTGTTCCTAAGGATCCTAATTGCCATTTACAAAGATTGTATCTATTTCTATCAAGAAAGAGGCTTACCCTGCTGTGAGCTTTATGCCACGAGTCTCGATCAAATTGCGGATTGTCAAGATTAACAGGATCACCATAAAAGAAATCAGGAATTACCACAAAAAATCCAGCTGCAGCAACTTTATCCGCAAGTTTCCTTTCCAGAGCAATCAATGTGAACATTCATTTCATTGAATAAGTAATGACTATGGCTACAGATATCTATCATATCAGGACAAATGAAACCCAACTCAAATGGCAATCTTGATTAAGGGGAGTGAATCAAAGACCCTCTTATATATATTGCTTCTCTGTCAAAGCAAGGCACTTTTATGCAGATTGCAGACTAATATAATTCTTTACTAGAAAACAAGGGTAAGTACCAGTCAATTTTGTAACTTGTCCCTAAAGAAGCATACTTTTATGAATCTGATCATTTTTATTAATTAATAAAGTAGAACCACTGACCCTGAAATAATTGGGGAGAAGAGAACTATACCTTAAATTTAGGTTTTCATACCCTGCAAAAACATAACAAAAACAAGCAAACCAACATGTTGTTAAATTTAAAACCACTAGTATTAAACCCAACTAGCTTTTAATCTGCTATTAGCCCCAGTTATCAACAGAGTTTCTTCTAAACAATTCACTCATAACCCATCATTCTTTTCAAAAACACACTCCCATGTCTTTCCAAATTTAAGCTAAAAAAGAAGAATCAAAATCAACTTATATAACAGAGATTAATGAAGAAAATGTTGATGGGTTGGTACCAAAAACATCTGAGACTAGAAGGATGGCATGCTTGGATTCACTTGGGCCAGTGAAGTAGGTTTTAAGTCCCCCCAGTTCTAGGAGAGTCCCTGCTCCAGATGTTGGGCCCAGTACTGGTGGGTTCTTGAAGCATTCAGCACTTGACATTTTGGACTTTGAGATATTCACACAGTGTTTCAGTTTCAGACAGTGAGAAGCAGAAGTTGAAGTCAAAAACGTGGAGGGAGGCGAGGTTATATAGAGAGCTGATTGAACTGACAAACGTCATTTCTTATGTCACATAGCAGAAGAAACCTGGTTAGTTAAACATGTCCAGCCCAGTTGGCCAATGACGTGGCGGCTTGGCCTATGAAGTACAACAGGTCAATATATGCTAATTTAATGTTAGTAACTTATGAAATCTATAAAAGAGTAGTAAATTCAAATGTTAACAATATGATTGCTGTACCAATAAGAAAGCATTGACTTGTAGTTCAGTGGTTTCAGGTTCAAATTCTTTAACACTTTAGTAGTGTGTGGATGCGAAACTTCCTCCTTTATAATTTAGATTATATGTTTGCCATATACTATATATGCAGCCAAATTTTTATAAAAAAATTATTTTATAGAAGAGTGTTATTTTAAAGTTTACCTCAGCTTACAAAATCTTAGAATCAACCCTGGTATACATTCAGAATACTCTTCTCATATTTCAAAAAATTTAGGATTTTTGTTGTTGAAAAACCTCCATTTTGGGTCCAAAAAAACACCTGCAAAAATGAAACATATAAAAATGGTTTTGACACAACCAAACTATAATAAAAAAATTTGAATTTTTTTAAGCGATAGTGTAAATTACTCTAACTTAATCTAATCTACATAAAAGATATTCGAACTTGAATGCAAGAGACTGAACACACTGTCTTAACCAACAAACCCACATTGAAACATTTTCAGGTACTTAGGGAAAGAGTACAAAGCATGCACTGAGCCGAGTTTTGGGTCAAAGACCCAAGCTAGTTGGGTTCTAAGATTTTATAGTCCAGTTCTCATATTGCAAGCCCGTGGCCCAATCCAACTCAACCCCGCCAAAATATAACCGTCTTCCAATACGTCGTCGTAAAATGTAGAAATGCCGAGCGTGTCGCATAGTCCAACGGAATCCCAAACATTAACCAATAACCACCATGCACAGTGCACACCAAAACAAACAAAAAGAACTAAATAAATAAATAAATAAAAAGTAAATAAAATCTATCCGGAGCATAGGAGACCGGCCTTGTCTGATACGCTATCCCGTCAAATTCAACCTCGTCAGTGTTTCTCCTGTGGAGGTTTTTGTAGGGTTTCTCTCTAAACCCACAGACCCAGCGAAAATGGGTTCTCTGGAAAATGGGATAGAGGGAGCTACAAATGGCAGAGAAGAGCATGAAGAAGAAACAGAGCAAGAGCCAATATTAATGGAGCAATCTGAGAGGTTTTGTATGTTTCCTATTAGGTACAAGCAAGTCTGGGAGATGTACAAGAAGGCTATGGCCAGTTTTTGGACTGGTACTTGTTCATTTTTCCTCTTTATATGTCTTTGAAACACAGAAGAAAGATTCTCATATTTCTTTTAATTTTGGTGTTTTCTTGTTTATCGGTGTGTGTTTTGAAATGGGTATCTGTTTGTTTCTCCAATTTCATTGACATTTGTTTTTTTTAATGCGAAAACATGTTCACATGGATTTGTACTTTGAAAACTCGGTTCTTGCCCTGTTTGGATTTTGTTTTTGTGTTTTTGTTTTTCTGGGTTGGAAATGGAGGTTTGCTTCCTTGGAATTGAGAGTATAATTCAAAAGAAATCTGAAGTGGGATTTGTTAATTCTTTTATTTTGGTTTCAAAATTCGGTTGGGTTTTGCAGTTGTTGGACTTGTTACTGTGGGTTCATGAAAGTAGTATCTTCTTTTTCCTTTATTGGGTCCCCAACATTACTTTAGACTATACTTGTTGGCGTTTGCTGTGTCTCTCTGAAAGGGAGCACATTTGATGTTTTCTTGTGCTTTATTTACCTTTGTTCTCTCTCCTAAGAACATTATACATTTGGTTATTTATGGAATCGTGCATGAACCAGAAATAATAAAGCCTTACGTAAATCCAAACCCATTGGCGGCTGCAACTTTCGGCTGCAATATGACCTCTCAAGACCAAGATATTCTGATGTCAGATACAGTTAAATGGGTAGCAGTGCTTGTGATTTACTTGGCTTGTGCCCATGGTAAATAGCACGAGCATGTAGTGCCTTGCTCAGAGAATCCTGAATCTACAATCTTGAACATATGAGCTTTTGCAATTCTGCTCGGCATATCTAGTCTTTGGCAGGCGTGGTTGAATTATTGCTTACAATGTGTACATAAGGCCTATATTTCAGTCACTTGATTTCGTATCTGCTGTTGAGTAGTTTCAATTTTTTTTATTTTTTATTTACCACAGCATGTTCTAATGACATGTTAATTGGCTTACAGCTGAGGAGGTTGATCTCTCCCAGGATGTACAGCAGTGGGATGCTTTGTCTAACTCCGAAAAGCACTTTGTAAGTCATGTCCTGGCATTTTTTGCCGCATCTGATGGGATTGTTTTGGAGAATTTGGCTGCAAGATTTCTAAACGATGTTCAGATTCCAGAGGTGATTTGTCTGCTATGATCTGTTCTTTATATGAAGAAGAGTGTTTGAATTTCCCAAAACATTTTCCCTCTCTCCTATTTCACCCTGTAATTTTGAAACTGTTGATGATTTGCCCCATAATTAGACTAAAATCCATTTTTATTTTCTCCTAGTTGACCAACTAACACTAAGGCTTTTCATTCTTCTCAGGCTCGGGCATTCTATGGATTTCAACTTGCAATGGAGAATATTCATTCTGGTAGAACTTTAAACATGGTTTCTGTTGTTTCCTCTATTTATAATGTATTGAGCCACCTGCCTAAGGGGTTTTCTCTTTGCTCCTTTTCTAAATACTGTCTATCATCAGAGATGTACAGCTTGCTTTTGGAGACATATATCAAGGATTCAATGGAGAAACATAGATTGTTCAATGCAATTGAAAGCATTCCTTGCGTCTCTAGGAAGGCTAAGTGGGCGTTGGATTGGATACACAGGTACGTGTGCATTCTTCTTCTGTATTCCTGGTATAAGCAAAGATGGCAAATCTTTGGGTTTGGAGTGCTTTATAATTGCTAATAAAGGAGATTATATTTCTTGTATGGCTGGACTTATTTGTACTTGATACATGCAATCATGTTTAAATGCGTTTGTAAAATCATGTACTTGATGTGTTAACCTTGAAGTTCTTTAGTAATTTTAAAATTCAACGTTATAGTATGGCCTGAGTAGAGAATGGGTTGTTTGTCTTGAGTTGTGTAGGAGGGCCATTTCTATCAAACGGAAATCACATATGCAATAACTTGAACTTCCTCCTGTGTGATATCTATGTTGTGTCTGTAGGTTCAAAGTGTGCATATAGGAGTGACAAAAGTTATACAGCCTACAATTTTGGAATATAACACTTGGTCTTTCTAAAGAGGAGGTTTTGCGCATGGGAAGTGAGATGGGATGGGTGGTGGGGGAGACATCTTTAAAATTATATCTAATTGGGAATTTATATATTTTAACAAAATATTTATTTTCTAACAAAACTAAGAGCTCTGCTGTATCATATGTAAATATCACATTATATTTGAACTTCCTACCATCTACTGCATACTGCAACTTTAAAAGTTGTTGTTAAGACCAGCTGATCGTAGTCATCAAGCTTCATTTGTAGTTCATGCAGATTCTCTATTTGATTAAAAGCAAGGAACCTGTTGCCTAAAACAATTTCTTATTCTGCATGATGTGCAGTTCCAATTCATTTGCAGAGAGACTTGTTGCTTTTGCATGTGTTGAAGGAATCTTCTTCTCCGGAAGGTAACGTGCACTCGCATACCCCTTTTTCTTTCTTGGATTTTTGTCATGAGGCTTGATACAACTTTTCTTTTGTTTTCTTCACCTTTTTCCCCTTTGTTTATTGTTCATTTGAGGTTTTCAGCTTCTGTGCCATATTCTGGCTTAAAAAGAGGGGCTTAATGCCAGGTTTGACATTCTCAAATGAGCTTATCTCCAGAGATGAGGGCCTCCATTGTGATTTCGCTTGTCTTCTGTACAGGTAATTCATGTTTTTCTTTATTTTTTAAGGGTTCTTGAATTTCTAGTTTTGCATCTGATTGTAAGAAAAAGATAATTGTTACTTATAGGGAGTTTCTTGTTGAAATCCTTGATTTATTACCTTTTGTCCCCACAGAATCAGGGAATTCAAGAAATTTGATAAAATAATTTCAATAAGCAAATGACAGAAAGTTATTTTGTTGCTATTGACTACAGTTTGTTACAGAAGCAATTACCTTGGCAAAAAGTTCATGGCATTGTACATGAAGCTGTCGAGATTGAGACCGAGTTTGTTTGTGAGGCCCTCCCATGTGCATTGATTGGCATGAACTCAGATCTCATGAGCCAGTACATAAAATTTGTTGCTGATCGACTCTTGGTATATCTCTGATGATTTGTTCCTCCCTTTTTTTTTTCTTTAATTCCTAGGGATTTAGGGGAGTTGTGTTTAATTTTTATAGTTATTGTTAGTGTTACATGTCAATATGAATGTGATAGAATATACCCTACCTTCCAGGTTGCATTAGGGTACCAGAGGAAGTACAATGTGGACAATCCTTTTGATTGGATGGAGTTTATTTCTTTGCAGTGAGTATTTCTGAGAATGTGGTTTATGCCTGCTTTAATCTATTCTTAGAACTGGTTTACTGATAATTTACAAGTGAACATCCTGCATGAATATTTCACTGGGTTTGTAAGGTCTTATTTATTTATTTATTTGCTGCTAATGACTGGATTGGTGGGTTATTATGACTGCATTGGATAGGGAAACTTAGAAAGAAACTTTCTGTTTTTAACTATTCACCATGTGAAATATAAACTTGGGAAAAACTCCAGGGAACTTAAGCCGCTGGCATCCTATCAAAGTATGTGGGATTGGTAGGAATGGTCAGTTCATTAGCTTAATGTCATACCACTTAGTTTGGCATCTTGATTTTTTTTTTTTTTTCTGACGAACTTTTTTGAGAGAAGAGTGGGTGACTATCAAAAAGCATCTGTTATGTCAGGAAGATGGTGGAAAGAATTTCGTCTTCAAGATGGACGCAGACTTCTAGTCATCAATTTGTTGCAACTTTTTCCAGCATTGTACTGAAATGCCAGATTTGGAATCAAAATTTTGTCACTCTTCTTTGTGCCAGCAATTTGTATATTGTATTTCAAGGGATATATATGTGTCATAGTCTGACTGAAGTTGTATTAATTTATGCCAAGCCTTCCTTAGCTCGGGGTGGTTGTCATTATCAGTAAAGAATTTTGTTATCTATAATTTAAAATTTCATTATAATCTGGTGGAAAATGTGAAATGTGCGTCATATCTCAATCTCATCATTGTGTTTGCAAAATGATGCATGAATCTGCTACTTTCATCAGTGCTGTGATTATTATTAGCATTATGAGTGTGGCACGTGGTGCACCCTTTTGTGTGAATTATGCCTGTATTTGTGTGTCTGCAGATACATACCAGCAACCTTGCCAAATTTTCCCTAAGATTGGTGCCATGAGTTTTTCACCATTGGGATCTGGATTTATGGAGGTTTGCATAGAAAAAAGAGATGTGCAAGCTTCAGTCCCGCATGGGCATGTGATGTATTGCCAACCATTGATGAGTGTGGCACACGCGCGACTAGTGGTAGCATCCTCTTAGAGTACGGAAAATTTTCTATAAAATAAAAAATAAAAAAAGGTGAGAGGAGCATATTGTTGGATCCAGACCATAGGCATGGTTCTGTGAGAGTGACTGATGAAAATGATGTTTATTGTCTTTTGGATTTGGCTACAGTTGAGTGATGCTTAAACATAATCCACCTCAAGAGTCACAATCTATGCCTGAGCTAATATAAAAGCAATCATATCCACCACAAGCTTATGTTTTCTTCTTTTGGGGTTCTTGATAAGGATCTAAATAATCTATATTGTTGGTTTTGGAAAGGTTGATTTGATTTCACCTTAATGTTATATGCAAGCTAATCCCCCACTAGCACCAGGATGAACTGTTCCTCATTGTCCTGAAATGATGATCAACCAGTATTTGTCACTAAATTTTCCTGAATTGATGAAAGGAAGATGAGCTAAAGGCACTCAGTTTAAGACACATTGAACACCTAACAACAAACCCTAATGCTCCCAATTAGTCTTTTGTTGCTTTCTCCATGTTACAACTTGGTCTCCATGGCACGCCCAATAGACAGAAAGCAGGCACTCTCTCTCTCTCTCTCTCTCTCTCTCTCTCTGAGTTTGGTGTCTGCTTGAGGTGACCAGGGCACTAAAATTAGGTACCAAACAATCCACCTTCTTCTTCCGTTTTTACTTTTTTTTTTTTGGTTTGTTTTTTTTGGTATTATCCAAATTTCCTAGTAATTATTAGGTACCCCATCAACATTCATGCACCAAAATTTAAAGAGAAAGTGATGGGTTATTCATTTTAAACAAAAAAGGTTTTATTTGTAGCTCCATAGTTTTATTCCTTTCTTATGTTTGCTTGCCTTGGCCGCTTTGATTTTTTGTTGGTAAGCTAACGTCCTCTGAGAGGCACACTTGGATCAATCTGTATGGTCTACAGAAAAGATGATAATGCCTTTCTCCCTAACAATCCTACATAAATCAAGTTAATTAAGACAAAGAATCGGAATCATGAACTACTCCTTTTAAATAAAGTTAATCAATGTGTTGATTATTTTTAACACCTTGCAATTTACATCATTATCCATGTGGGTGTGGCTTTGTCAATGTTAACCATTACCTGTCCCGTTTTACCAGCTTCAAATCCGATCATAACAACTTTGAACCTCCCATGATGCGGTTGCTCAGATGACTGGACCATTTCACCTACCTCACCTTTTTTTCTCGTAAGTCATATCTATCCCAATAGAATACCATTGATTGGCTCATAAGATAGAGAAATATTTTATTTTTACGAACATTTTCTTATTAATTCATGCATTATAATGTGGGAAGACGACACAATCGATATCTCATGTACTTTTGATATATTATTAATAAATAAATATTCATGTTATAACACAAGTAGAGTAAGTGTGGTAGTCATCGAAATATTTTGTTTGGGTTAAAGCCTTTAATGTGACAATCATCCTAAAAGTTTAAAAATTCCCTAATTAGGTTTTCCTTTTCTCATATTGTGTGCTTTATAAACACGATTAGGGCATTTGAAAGAATGTGAAATGACGTTAATAACTATTTGGTCTAGTGACATTTATTCTTCATTTGTCTTAATTGGATTCTCATTAGCCCACGTTTTCCACAACCTATAATCCCATCTCTCCCATGAAGAATTATTCTAGTTAGGATTGTTGTGGGAGGTTGAACCATATTAGTTGAGACTTTGAGATTATCCAAGAACAGCAATGACACTAATTATATATCTCATTTCAAAGTGGCTAAACGGCCTTAACTGATGGAGGCACTAGTGCTTACCTACCCATACTAAGATATGCATAACGCATACATAGCAAGAGCTTCCCAATCAATGGAAAAGTAGGAAGAAAGAAGGACCACCCTCTTTACCTTTCCATACCTAAAGCCTGAGCGCAATCTTAATATATACCAATTCTATTTGCCACTTTTGTCACTTGGAGGTGGACCAATTCTAAAGTCTCTAGTGGGGATATTATCATCCTTCTTGTGCTTGTGGCCTTATCCCTCACCTACCCTAACCACTAATGATCTATCATCTACCCATGAACCATGAAAATATTTAGTATAAAAATAATACTTTTTAAAAATAGTTTAGGATCTCCTGGTGGCAACCCATTGTACCTTATGGGTTGGTGATCATTAGTGGGCCAGGTCATGGATGGGTCCATAGTCTCATCATGAGAAAGATCAATAGTAAGATTACATTTTACCCCTTGCTTAGTTCCAACTGAAAAGTTGAGCAGATCCAATACATTGGTGGGACATGAAAGTGCTCTAACATTTCTAAGTACAAGATAATCTTAAAAATGTCAAAATGACAAATTTAACCCTCATATTATCTAAATGAAACGTGTCAATCTCTGCTAATACAAAAGTAAACACATGACGCGAATGGGGTCTAGCGAGTGAAAAAAAGTTTTGACTTAGGGAGTGAAAAAAGATTTTGATAAAAAAATAAAAAGATTTCGACTTGCAAATAAATGGTCTCAAATTTGAAATCTTATGGCACTTTAGTAGTGTGTAAGGAACCCCCCATAACACTGTTTAGACTATCACTTCTATTCATTAATTCTCAGGCATCTTCCTATTTATAAGCCACATCTCACAACAAATGGAGATGTTATGAGAATCTTATGAATAATACTAATCTTACTACATTTTTATACTACAATTTCATACGACATGATGTGGCAGTTGATGTGTATATACCACATCATGTAAATTATTTGTTTATGTTTTTCTAATTTTATTTATTAAAATACATTTCTTTCATTTAATTAATATGACATATGATATAAACATAACACATTATGTAGTATAGAAATATATAATAAAAATATAGTAAGTGTAGCATTATTCGAATCTTATTAGATTAATGAAACCACAGCCCCTACATGCCGTTGTCATGTATGGAAGGAGAATATTTAATCCCAAGACTACCCCTCACCCAGTTTGACTTTCCCATTTCTGACCATTTATACACAATTTTGCACACCTCAAAAAACCAGAAAAACAAACGCAGTGCAAACAACTCTCTATTTCTCTCTCACTCAAAGCCACCACCTTTCTGTTGTTCTACCAGACTACCACCAACCCAAAACTAGCAGAAAACCCACATCCAAATCTGGCTCAGACATGGATGAGTCCGTACAAATCAGTATCTGGGACAGTGTGGTGGAGCTAACCAAAGTGGCACAGCAAAAGGGTAGTGATCCTCTGCTATGGGTTATACAGTTGTCCTCAAACTTGAAATCCAGGGGAGTATCAATGCCCTCAGTCGAGCTTGCCAATGTGTTGGTCTCTTACATTTTCTGGGACAATAACGTGCCCATTACTTGGAAGTTTCTAGAGAAGGCTTTGATGTTGAAAATTGTGCCCCCTATGCTTGTTCTTGCTCTGCTTTCAACAAGGTTTTGTTCTTTTGTTTTCTGTTTTGCAGTTTTGATTGATTTTGATTTTTGTGTTTTTTTTTTTTTTTTTTTTTTTTTGTTTTGGTGTTATAGTTAGGTTCTTTTGATATATTTTCAGTTGGGATCATATAAAGGGTCTCAATTTGTTCAAAGCTTTCATCTTTTATTTTTCCTTGGACTGTTTCGGAAAGGAAAGTAATAACAGAATCTTAATCATGTTGTGTCCTTGTTTTCGACATAAAAGATATCTTGGCCAAACTGGACCGTATTGTTGTGTTTCAGAATTTCAGTTTACTAGTGGATAAGTCCTTGTGATTACACATTTTATTTTCTTTAAACCTTAAATTTCATACCGTTCTTACCTTTTCCCCACATGTTAAAAAATGGTGTGTTGGGCTCACATGTCTCTCTTTGTACTTTGTACTTTGTTCTTTTTTTCTTAGAAAAGAAATTTTTCCTCTCGAATTTCAATGTCCATTTTCTCTGTCCCGGCTAATTCTGTATGGTTGATATTTCTCCGCATTCTTTTTAGAAAGAACAGAAACCACAACATTTGGCTGATCAGAAAACGGAGGAAGAAAGTTATTGTGGGTCTTCTTCTGAATATCATATTTTCTTTTATGTCTCCCAGAAGCTAATAAATTATAAAAGACCGAGCCAAGTTATTGTATTGAGCTTAGTGGAGTAGAGTTGCTTGAACATGTGACACGTCCTAATGCAATCTTGATTTCCTTGTGAAATCAGTTAAATTCATGCATTACAATGTGCTGTGTTGATGAATGAGTATGGCCTTGATTATAATGTATTTACACAAAATTATCTGAAGAATCAGGTGGCATGCAGATGCAGATTAGATTACTAATATAGGCTGCATTTTGCTTGCCACTAATGTTCTGTTTGTTTCTCCAGATCAAGTTATGTTTACTTTTTTCTTAACGGTTCTTTTGTGTGTGTGTGTGTGTGGTGGGGGGGGTTGAAGGTCAGTGTTCATAATGAATTATAATAGCCTCTTATGTTCTCACTTGTGATACACTGCTTGTTTTCTTGCGTTGTAGGGAAATTCTCATGCCCTAGTAATTAATGGTCTTATTGTTGTCTACCACTCTTTCTACAGGGTCATTCCATGTCGGCGCTCCCAGCCGGTGGCATATAGGCTTTACATAGAACTCCTTAAGAGACACATTTTTACCCTGAAGTCTCAGATAAAAGGACCAAATTATCAAATGTAAGTTCTGATATCTAGTACAGATGAGATTATTTGCTTACACTGTACTGAAGATGATGCTAATAAGGATTGATTCTTGTATCTCGAATTTCTAACCTGTATAATTCTTACAGAACCATGAAATCGATAGATTCTATTCTTCATCTTTCCTGGATATTTGGTCTGCCAGCAAGTGACCCTGGGATTCTTGTGGTTGAGTTTTTATTTTCAATTGTTTGGCAATTGCTTGATGCATCATTAGATGATGAAGGATTGCTAAACTGTACCCCAGAAAAGAAGTCTAAATGGGCAATTGAACCTCAGGAAATGGAGATAGATTGCCACAATAGTTATTATGAGAAGAGGAACGAACATAATGAGATATTGCAGGACTCAAATACTGTCATGGCCATTGAGATAATTGGGCAATTTCTTCAAAATAAAGTAACTTCAAGAATTCTTTACTTGGCTCGCCGAAACTTGTAAGTCCTTGTCCCCTTTACCAATTACTTCTATTCTTTCTCCATTCTCCTTTGAAGTTTTGAAGTAAAATTATTTTGTATGACTTTTGGTTTTCTCAAGCATCAGATGGCATGTCTTAGTATTCAAGATTAGTAAATCCTCTAAAACATCCTGTATATGTACATGACATTTTTTGAATGTTCTCTCAACAGATTTCCTTCTATATAATTTCAGATTCAGTTGTATGGTCTTGTTTTTTTCATTTCATTTGCCAGAAAGTCTTAAAATCAATTACTAAGTTTCCTTTCACCAGTACTTTGATCAGTTTCCTGCTTGATCTTTGCCTTCAGTGCAAGCCATTGTTTAACATTTGATCTCACTTTTTCAGGGCTGCACATTGGACAAGTTTTATTCAGCGATTACAGTTGCTTGGATTGAACTCATTAGCATTAAGAAATTCAAAAATTCTTACCCCAGAGGCTCTTCTACAGTTGACTTCAGATAGTCACATCGTCTTGCCTCGAGAATGCAAAACAGCTTCTTCGCAAAAGTATCATGCAGTTATGGCTTCTGGATCTCTGGCTTCTTCTGCTGGTCTGTGCCATGGGAATAGTCGTTCTGCTTTGTGGCTTCCTCTTGATCTTGTATTAGAAGATGCCATGGATGGATATCAAGTTGACGCAACAAGTTCTGTTGAAACAATTACTGGTAAACACAGAATTTATTATCCCTTGTGCTTGAAATTAAATAGTATTTTAAATTACTATTGGTTCTTATGAAACCAGTTTCTGTTAGGATGAAAAATCAAGGTTTCATTTTGTAGGTTTGGTCAAAACCTTTCAAGCAATAAATGGCACAAGCTGGCATGATACCTTTTTGGGCCTTTGGATAGCAGCTCTTCGTCTTGTACAAAGGGTTTGTATCTGTTTTGAATAAATTTAAAAAATTTCCTTCTGAATGGTTGGTATTGGTCCGGAACATGAACGTCAATAGTTCCTTAAAACATTCTACTAGCTCTCTTCAAGACCAGACCCATATATGTCATAGAAGTTTGAGCAACTTACTTGATTTTGGGTACTTCCGTCAACTTTGATCAGTAACTGGGAGGATTTGTTAGAAAGTTCTACAACTTTATAAGTTACACATAAATGCTTTTAATGGCTGATTATCTTATTGGTAACCCTAACACATCAAAGTTGCTCCATGATAAATTTGTTGATTTACCATTAGTCCCAAGAGCTCAAGTTGTTTAAACTCTTGAGATGCGGATCAACAACTGTATATATATATATATATATATATATATGTATGTATGTATATAAAGAGAGCTTCCATTGAGGGATCCCTGTTTGAGGGACGTAGGGCCCACTCCGCATTGTATTCCACTAATCCAAACCATCTATTTTTTAGATAATCATTCAAAGATCATCTCTACAAAAAATCACTTGAATCCAATATCATTTGACCACTCAATTGAGTTATTGAAATTTTAGTACTTTCTTGAAGCACCGTGTTTATTGATTTTGTAGGACACAATTGGATGTCGAAACGGTTTCTGATTTGTCTAATTTTTTTGCAAGGATGATCTATGAATGTAGACTTAAAAAATAGATGGTTTGGATCGTTGAAAAAAAATTCATAGGGTACCCTAAAGGATGCCCCTCAATAGAAGGGGACTGTATATATATATATGTATATTCTAATCTTCTATTGTCATACCATTGATAAATTTATTGGTTCACTGTTGCTCTAAAAAACTTAAGCTGTTAGGACCAAACTTAATCTGTTCGGTATTGAATGAAGCAATTGTTATTTTATAGGTTTAAGTGGGAACTGTTATTTCTAAAATTTATATTAGTTATGGCTTCTTGTTGATAGGCTTTTTTTATGTATTGCAGGAAAGGGACCCCATAGAGGGCCCAGTGCCTCGCCTTGACACTCGCTTATGCATGCTATTGTGCATCACAACACTGGTGGTTTCTGATCTGATTGAGGAGGAGGAAATTGCACCAACCAACGAAACAGAATATGGTTCTGTCAATCGCCGGAAAGAAAAAGAGGTTCCGGGAAAGCGCCGCTATGATTTAGTCTCCAGCCTACAGATGCTGGGTGATTATCAGGGTTTGCTGACTCCACCTCAGTCTGTTGTTTCTGCTGCCAATCAGGCTGCTGCAAAAGCAATGCTGATTCTTTCAGGTGTCAGTATTGGGAGTGCATACTTTGAGTGCATCAGTATGAAAGACATGCCTATCAACTTCTGTGAGTAATATCTAGCTCGCATTCATTGTCAATGAGTCTCTCTTCAACATAAAGAAAATTCTATGAGTGTGTCTTGTTATAAAAAGGGAACCAGCACACCAATGAAATAAATGGCCAAATGGCCATTCGTGGGCATGGCAGTGCTGTTCACTTAGTGTATTCCAAAAAATATCTTCTTATTTCCTTTTTCAAATATCTATTGCTCTTTAAAGAAAAGTTACTCTGCTGAATGTTTCTCGGTTATGTTTTTTATTTAATTTAATTAATTAATTTATAGATAAAACCATTGGAACTGTATAGCGCACCGTTGTCCATGGTTGTTCCATTCTTGTATTCTTGTCTTTTTTTTCTTTTAGTCTTGTTTTATTCCCATATTGGTCCTGTTTCTAGTTTTTAATATTGTTCTTTTTGGTTTAGATGTAATGGTCTGTCGCATAAGCAACTTCTATATACTGTTTTGTGGAGTCGGTGTATATCTGTTAGGTATTCTAATCTTAAGTTTATGTGTTTGTTTACAGCTGGAAACTTGCGTCATTTGATAGTTGAGGCCTGTATTGCTAGAAATCTACTGGAAACATCTGCATATTCCTGGCCAGGTTATGTTAATGGACGTATCAACCAGTTACCTCATGGTGTGCCAACTCAAGTGCCTGGTTGGTCATCATTTATGTTGGGGGCTACGCTTACTCCAATAGTGGTTAATGCTTTGGTTTCAAGTCCTGCTTCAAGGTATACTAGCTTTTAACTTTCTAAATCTGTTACATTTAGTAAATCATGTTATAATTAAGATGTTGGGACTTCATTTCCACAAGTTTTTAGAGTTTTACCCCTGTGAATCATTTCTGACAAGGTTTTGGTCCCTGCCTCTCTGGCTTGTAGCAATTGTTTATATGGTACATGTATGAAGTTTTTGAATTTATCTGGTATATGCATTCATTCCTTAAATCAGAGATTACCACTTTTCAGAAGGGCCCATCAATAGCCGATTTCTAAATTCTAATTTTTGAGTTCATGCTTAATGCACTAATTACGATGGAAGTTTACATTTGGCTCACAAGAATTTTGAGAATCTAACCAATTTTGCATACGGATGGTTATACCTTTGGTCATTAGCATTATATGATCCTTTTGTCCCTTCCAGGCGATCGGAAAATAAAGAAATAGTTAATATATTCAAGATAATTACGTATGAGTAATGCTACACTTACCACATTTTTATCCCACATTTCCATACCACATGATGTGGCATGTCCATATTATATGCCACATCAATTAAATCAATGAAGTGTATTTTTTAATTAAGACAATTAGAAAAACAAATACTGGAATAAATCATAAAAGAAAAGAAAATATTAAATAATTTTAATTGATGTGGCTGTCCACCTCAGCTGCCACATAAGATGGTATAGGGATGTGGTAAGAGTAGCATTATTCATTACGTATTTACAAAATACCTATATCTATAGGAGTCATTGTGTGCAAAAATATTAAAGGGGAACTCTTTGTAGATAGATGACTTTTAGATTACCATTTTCTTAACTTCTTTGACTATGGCCTGGTCTTCAGTTACTCCTTTTTCTTTCCTGAAGCCAGGTATATCAGATGCTCTTTTTTGTAAATTTACCCAAAGGTAAAGCTACTGAATTAAGCTCATGGATTTGATGGAAGCTTAGCAGAACTCGAGAAAGTATTCAAGATTGCAGTCAATGGATCAGATGATGAGAAGATATCTGCTGCTACCATATTCTGCGGGGCGTCACTCATTAGGGGATGGAATATACAGGTGAAGAAACAATAGTATTATATTTAAACATATTTTGAATTCTTTGCCCCCACTTGCATATTTGAATCCTAAGAGTTCTTTCCATTTTTTCTGAATCACTCAACTTTCTTTTTTTGATTTATGGTTCGCATTTTATGCAGGAACATACTGCTCATTTTATCATTAGACTATTGTCTCCTCCAGTTCCTGCCGATTATTCTGGGGTTGACAGCCATTTAATAGGTTATGCACCAATGTTGAACGTCCTCATTGTTGGAATAGCATCTGTTGACTGCGTTCAGATTTTCTCTTTACATGGCTTGGTATGTATGTTAAACTTTTACTTAAACAAACACGAAGATTTACAATAATACTGTCAGGGTTTGTCGCATCTTAGGAAGTGATCAAGCACCCTTCTACTTATAGCTAATTCTGTTTCAAGTTAACATTGAGCATTATTAAGTTATATAGCTAATTCTGTTTCAAGTTAACATTGAGCATTATTAAGTTATCTACCTCAATATTCAGTTTGGCTTTTGAGGTGGATTTTCCATGTTAATTTGAAACCAGTAATTGCATCAAGGACAAGGAGAAGACATTGTAAATTGAAATTGTAGTATAAGACATGATGCTTGTGTTAAGGCTCTGAAAGGAGCACTGTGGCAGCTTTTCTGTTTTAGAATTCCTTGATGCAGACCCAAAAAGTCGTTCAAAGACTTTATTTTGTTGATTTCAGCTGTACATCTTCTTACTTTCCAAAATCAGGAAAATAGAGAGTGGTTGGTGGTAGATTCTTAGATAGGGAAAAAGATCACTATGTTTTGTGATCTCATGTTATTTGAGTTTTAATATCAATTGGATTGAATTGGTGTTATACTGTAATAAACTTCAATAAGTACTTCTAGTAGAATAAAGTGGCAAAATATCCTCTTTGTAAAAAAAAGATCAGAAGCCTTTGGGTGTTGTTGATAATATATCTGTTTTGTGGTTTGGGAGTGGGGAGATGTGTGTGCTAGTGACAGGAACTTCGTATCAGCTTTAAACTAATGTTATCTAGTTTTCTTTCCAGGTCCCACAACTTGCATGTTCATTGATGCCGATATGTGAGGTGTTCGGCTCATGTGTTCCCAATGTCCCCTGGACTCTAACAACGGGAGAAGAAATCTCTGCCCATGCTGTGTTTTCAAATGCATTTACTCTCCTTTTGAAGCTGTGGAGGTTTAATCATCCTCCTCTTGAGCATGGGGTGGGAGATGTACCCACAGTTGCATCCCGACTTACACCTGAGTATCTCCTATCAGTAAGAAACTCTTACCTAGTATCTTCTGGAAGTGCTCACCAAGATCGAAATAAGAGGAGACTCTCCACTGTTGCAAGTTCATCATCTCCAGAACCTGTATTTGTGGACTCGTTTCCAAAATTAAAAGTTTGGTATCGACAGCATCAAGCATGTATAGCCTCAACCCTCTCTGGTCTTGTTCATGGAACCCCTGTCCACCAGATTGTTGATGGGCTTCTTAACATGATGTTCACAAAGATTAGTAGAGGAAGCCAGTCTTTAACTTCTGTTAATTCTCCAAGTAGTAGTTCTTCCGGACCTGGAAATGAAGACAACTCTCTAAGACCTAAATTACCGGCCTGGGATATCTTGGAAGCTGTTCCCTTTGTGGTTGATGCTGCTCTAACAGCCTGTGCTCATGGGAAACTTTCTCCTCGCGAGCTGGCTACAGGTTAGCCTTGTTTTCTCTTCCCTTTTGCTGTTGATGTTTTGTTATTTACACACAGCGATACCCAGGAAATTGAATTGATTTTTTTATATAAACTAATCCTGAATGTGTGATTGAGTTAATACTGGCAACCATATCACTGAGTTTGATATAACTGGGTATTTTTAATATTACCTCAAGTTATTTTCATTTGACCTGTAAATATAAAAGAACCAAAATTTTATTTTTTTAAATTACTAGATGTGGCACTCAACTTTAAGAGAAAGAAAGAAGTCATTATTATACCTTGGTCTAATATGTGAAATAACTGAAGAGTTTTCCCTATTTCAGGGCTTAAAGATTTAGCAGATTTTCTTCCTGCATCTTTGGCAACCATTGTCAGCTACTTTTCTGCTGAAGTTACTCGGGGTATTTGGAAACCAGTTTTTATGAATGGAACAGATTGGCCCAGTCCCGCCGTGAATCTATCCCATGTGGAGGAACAGATCAAGAAAATCCTAGCTGCTACTGGTGTTCATGTCCCTAGCCTTGCTCCAGGTTTTCTCTTGTTACCAACTTATAACTAGAATGAAAAGCTATCTTCCTGACTTTTGTAGCATGGTTGGCTTGTGCATATCGACATATAGTACTTGCCACTAGTCAGTGGTCACCATAGACAGAAGCTTCATGAGACATTCAGACAAACCTGGTCTATATTATTTAATACTTTATGTGGTGTTGAGCATCTATGATCAACATTCATCCTGTACATGCTTGCAGTTGATAATTAAATGAATATAAGCTATTACATTGTTTTGGGAAAGATTTTGTTTTCCATTCTCCCCATATTGCAGAGCTAGTTTATTTATTCCTCCCCTCTCGTATTTTGATTGAGACTTAACTATTGCAGGTGGAAGCTCTCCAGCTACACTTCCATTGCCCCTAGCTGCCTTTGTAAGTCTTACTATTACTTACAAGGTTGACAGAGCATCAGAACGTTTCCTCAGTTTGGCAGGCCCCACCTTGGAGTGCCTTGCAGCTGGTTGCCCATGGCCTTGTATGGCAATTGTGGCATCCCTTTGGACTCAAAAGGCCAAGCGATGGAGTGACTTCCTTGTCTTTTCTGCATCTCGGACTGTTTTCCTACAGAATGGTGATTCAATGGTTCAGCTTCTTAAAAGCTGCTTTACTGCCACACTAGGCCTGAATGCCACTCCAATCTCGAGCAATGGTGGTGTTGGAGCACTTCTTGGCCATGGATTTGGATCCCATTTCTGTGGTGGGATTTCCCCTGTCGCACCGGGTATTCTTTATTTACGTATGTACCGGTCAATTACAGATATTGTCTTCATGACGGAAGAGATTCTTACTATCTTGATGCATTCTGTAAGAGAGATAGCATGTACTGCTCTTTCTAAAGAGAGATTGCAGAAGTTAAAGACAACAAAAAACGAGATGAGATATGAACAGGTTTCACTTGCTGCTGCAATGTCTCGGGTGAAACTAGCAGCTTCCCTTGGGGCGTCTTTAGTATGGTTAACAGGAGGCTTGTGTCTGGTTCAGTCATTGATCAAAGAAACCCTGCCTTCTTGGTTTATATCTATGCATTGGTCTGAGCAGGGAGAAGGGTCAGAAGGAATGGTTGCCATGCTTGGGGGTTATGCACTTGCATACTTTGCAGTGCTCTGTGGAGCCTTTGCTTGGGGTGTTGACTCATCATCATCGGCATCAAAACGGCGTCCTAAAATCCTAGGTACCCACATGGAATTTCTTGCAAGTGCACTTGATGGGAAGATATCGCTTGGTTGTGATTCGGCAACATGGCGTGCCTACGTGTCGGGGTTTGTAACTCTAATGGTGGGTTGCACACCAAAATGGGTGCTTGAAGTGGATGTACATGTGTTGAAGAGACTAAGCAATGGTCTAAGGCAGTGGAATGAGGAGGAGCTTGCTCTGGCTTTGCTAGGGATTGGTGGGGTCGGTACAATGGGTGCGGCTGCTGAACTCATAGTTGAAAATGAGATGTAAATTCCAACCCCCCCTCCCCCTCAACCCCAATGGCCCAAAAAGGTTTTGAAGGCAAATGTACATGTTAAAAATGGTTGTAGATTAGTTTAATTGCCAGGAACTTGTGCAGCAAACTTATTTTGCAGTGAAAGGTTCAGAGCTTTGTTCCCTAAAAAGAATTTAGAGAGCAAACACTTTTTAAAAACAATTTGACCCAACTTTCATCACATTGCAGACGCATATGCACTCCCTCTGCCTAAATATTTTTTGGTTGGATGTATATGAAATGTTAATGAGAAACCGAGGATGATATGAAAATCTTCGTTCAAATTAGAATGAATTCGTCTCTCATTCGACTTGCTTCCCTCTCTTACGCTGTTATTTATCCCCCAACCCTTCTTAAAGAATGACGTATTAAAAAAAAACATGAGGAAGATCCAATATCCTACCACCTAGTAAGGTGCACTGTGCAGAAGTTTTTGTTATTCTTAGTGTTTGTACAAATTTCCTCACGGGAATATTCGTCTAAGATTCCTTCGTCTTCTCCACTTCTCTTTCTCCCTGCAAAACAGATCGGGGTAAAAGGACCACACCCGGGGGGTGTTGGCCAAAGGCCCTCCGATGCCTAAGTTAGGTAGGGTATTTCAAGGAAAACCGGGTGGCCGGAGCCGTGTGTGGTGGCCGGAGCCTTGTGTCAGAGAGAGAAAGAAAGTGGTGGCTAGGGTTTGTGAGAAATAATTTCTGCAGAGTTTCAGTAGGAATTTAGACGTACCTTGACCTTTGTGCGTAGCCAAGTATTTATAATGGTCTCGGAGATTAGGGTTTCAGAGGAATAATTCCGTAGTTGGTAAGGAATTATTCCTTCTTGATTTGGCATTGATTTGATTAATTAGGGATTTGATTTATTTGGGTAAATCAAATCCCTAATCGTGGTAGGTATCAGATCAAATCCTAATTTAATTAGGTAACTCCTAATTTAATTGGGAATTGGGGTAGGAATTAAATCAATTCCCAACTTAATTAGGTAATTCTCAATTTAATTGGGTAACTCCCAATTAAATTGAGTAACTCCCAATTAGGTTGAGTAATTCCCAAATAGGTCAAATAATCCCCAAATGGAAGGAATTATTTGACCTAGGGTATGATTTAATTCGGTTCCCACAAATGCCCCCCAGCTTCTGCATGGCACGTGGTGGCATGTAGGAGATGTGATTGTTTGTTGGGCTGTCCAGCTGTAACTGGGCTTCCTCCTTGGATTTGGGCTCCTAAATGGAGGAGGCTTTTGACTTGCCAACTGGTCTTTGACTTGGGTTGTCCAGCTATAACTGGGCTGGAGGCAAGCTGGCCTGCTGCTGGAGCAGGTGGCAGTTTGGGTCGGCTTATTTGTGGTTGATCCAAACTGCTTCAATTCCTTCTTCTTTTTGTGTCACGAACTAGGAATAGTATGAGTCAAGGCGATCACGTGTGGAGCACGGACATGTTGGAAGTCAGCGGCAGACGGGTAGGGGAGGTTGGCGACGGTCCGCTCATTCCTCTCACCTACTGTGATGGTAAGTTGCATCCCTATGATCTGCTACAGTTGCCATGGAATTCTTTGCTGTGTGTTTGACTGACTTCTGTCTCATGCTTGTAGAAAATGACATCCACAAGAAGCTCAATCTCGGCTGAACACGATCAATGTTCATCAAGCTTTAAACATCCTTGCCAGGTTCTGTGGATTGCGCTGGTTGCTGAGTGAACATCAGAAGGAGGCTGATGGTCTGCCCCCAGCCGAAGATGTTGAAAGATGGGAGCTGCATGGCTCGGACCTAGATGATCTGTCAGTTGAGCGGGAGAAGTCCTCGACCAAGCTTCCTCATTCTTCCAGGAGCAAGTCTTCTGTAAGGGGGTCTCGTTTGCTGGGAATGTCCCTATGGGAGTTGCTTCTTCATCTGCCAGGATCAAGCGCCTCGTCAGCACGAACAATAAGAAGATCAATGGCATGCAGGAGGTCTGGGACATTCTGCTCAGGTATCCGCTCGAACTGCTTAAAACCCATGATCTACCCTGTGAGGAGGCTGTTGAGAAGCAGTGTTTGAGTTGCTTGTGCCGATCTTGGGATCAAACTGAGAGGACTGTACATTTGTCTAGAAATCACGACTCGTCTGCAAAGCCATGAACAGTCAAGCACGGAGCTGACTCAATGTTGCGAGTTTCGGCCAAGAGAGCTAAAGAGTCGTATGCTCGAGCAAAAAGTCCTTAAGTTGCACGAACTGCCGATCCAGAAGTTGGTGATAGCTCCGCTGGTCAAGTTCGACACTCATGTTGAAGCCACGGAGGCATCCAAGCATGAGATTGTTGCTAATGTGTACAAGCTGGGATACTTGGATTGCAGGAATAGTGATTCTCCTTGTTGCCCTCTCGAACATGAAGACGGTAAGCAGCTCTATCCTGACCTGCCCCTTGCTCAAAGTGAGCAGAGCAATGTTGCGGGTGCAGAAGCAATTGAAGAGCAGATAGCATATGAAGCTGCAATGGAGGAAGACAACTCCCAAGGTGGCGTAACTGATAAGGTTAGGCCAGATGCGAAGGAGCAGGCAGGTGAGGCCGTTGAGTAGATGGTGCTTGTCGGCCGCTTTGTTATGGAATTTTCAGTTGTCTTTCAAATTTCAATTCTCATTGTATCTTGTAAGTATATATCCGGAGATACAACACTTGAAAGAAACTCCATTGAGTTTGTACTCGTGAAGTAGCTCGCCTACAATAGAGGTAAGGCTTGTCGCCTGTGTGCGTATGTCGAGGACATGACGCTTGAAAAGACTCCATGAAGTTTGTACTCGAGGAGTAGCTTATCTTCAGTGGAGGTGAGGCTTGTCGCCTGCGAGCATATGTCGGGGACATAATACTCGAAAAAGACTCCATTGAGTTCGTGCTTCGTGGAGCAGCTTGTCTGCAATGGAGATGAGGCTTGTCGCCTGCGAGCGCATGTCAGGGACACAATGCTTGAAAAAGACTCCATTGAGTTCGTGCTTCGTGGAGCAGCTTGTCTGCAATGGAGATGAGGCTTATTGCCTGCGAGCGTATGTCAGGGACACAATGCTCGAAAAAGACTCCATTGAGTTCGTGCTTCGTGGAGCAGCTTGTCTGCAATGGAGATGAGGCTTGTCGCCTGCGAGCGTATGTCAGGGACACAATACTCGAAAGACTCCATTGAGTTCGTGCTTCGTGGAGCAGCTTGTCTACAATGGAGATGAGGCTTGTCGCCTGCGAGCGTATGTCAGGGACACAATGCTCGAAAAAGACTCCATTGAGTTCGTGCTTCGCGGAGCAGCTTGTCTGCAATGGAGATGAGGCTTGTTGCCTGTGAGCGTATGTCAGGGACATAATGCTCGAAAAAGACTCCATTGAGTTTGTGCTTCGTGAAGCAGCCTGTCTGCAATGGAGATGAGGCTTGTCGCCTACGAGCGTATGTCAGGGACACAATGCTCGAAAAAAGACTCCATTGAGTTTGTGCTTCGTGAAGCAGCCTGTCTGCAATGGAGATGAGGCTTGTCGCCTACGAGCGTATGTCAGGGACACAACGCTCGAAAAAGACTCCATTGAGTTTGTGCTTCGTGAAGCAACCTGTCTGCAATGGAGATGAGGCTTGTCGCCTGCGAGCGTATGTCAGGGACACAATGCTCGAAAAAAGACTCCATTGAGTTTGTGCTTCGTGAAGCAACCTGTCTGCAATGGAGATGAGGCTTGTCGCCTGCGAGCGTATGTCAGGGACACAATGCTCGAAAAAAGACTCCATTGAGTTTGTGCTTCGTGAAGCAGCCTGTCTGCAATGGAGATTAGGCTTGTCGCCTGCGAGCGTATGTCAGGGACACAACGCTCGAAAAAGACTCCATTAAGTTTGTGCTTCGTGAAGCAGCCTGTCTGCAATGGAGATTAGGCTTGCTGCCGCCATGTGTATGTTCGTAAGACATAATGCTCAGAAAAGTACTTCATTGAAAAGCTTGCTCTTGTATTGATGTTGGCGTGAATACATCGCTTTATTGAAATAAAGGAAATTAACAACAAAGGTAACATCAAAAGTAGTTTGTCTTTAATGGAAGTACAGGAGGCTCGTCGCCTGCTAGCAGCCAAGTTGGTAAGCGAAGAGTTTCATGGATAGTATCTTCGAAGGTGGTGGGCATTCCATTGTCTTGGAATTTCTTTTCCTTCTAGAGTATCAAGGGTGTAACTTCCTCTGCCCCCAGATCGGCTGATCACGTAGGGGCCTTCCCAGTTTGGCTTCATTTTCTTTGACCCTTGCCTTGGTGCTGTGATGAAAGTTTTTCTAAGCACAAGGTCTCCAGGCTGAAACTGTCTTATCTTAGCCTTCTTATTGTAGTAGGACGTCAACTGCTGCTGGTAGGCGGCAACTCGAACAATAGCCTTTTCTCGTTCTTCTTCAAGCAGATCAAGGTTGACTTTCATCTGCTTGCAGTTTTGGTCAAGGCTGCCCACCTCAATGCTCATGGAAGGGACTGTGATGTGTGGGGGAATAATTGCTTCTGTCCCATAGGCCAGGGAAAATGGTGTCTCTCCGGTCGATCTCCTTTTGGTCGTGCGATAAGCCCATAGGACTCCTGGCAGCTCGTCGACCCATTTTCCTTCTGCGCCTTCCAGTCTTTTCTTTAGGCAGTCCAGCACTATCTTGTTGGATGCCTCTGCTTGGCCATTGCCTTGCGGGTATCGGGGTGTTGACAGGTGTTGTTTGATGCCATACTTCGCAAAGAATGCGGTGATCTGCCTGCCCACGAACTGTGTACCATTGTCGGTGACTATCGATTGCGGGCAACCGAATCTGCAAATAATGTTCTTCCAGATGAACCGTTCAACATCGGCCTCCTTGGTAGAAGATAAAGCCTCGGCCTCGATCCATTTGGTGAAGTAATCAGTGGCAACGATCATCATCTCTTTGTTGGCAGGTGCCGTCGGCATAGGTCCCACCAAGTCAATGGCCCACTGCATGAATGGCCATGGACTGTTCTGCGGATGGTATTCCTCAGCGGGCAGGCCAGGGACCGGCTTGTAGCGTTGGCATCGATCACATCTTCGAGCATACTCCGTGGAGTCTTGGCGCATGGTAGGCCAGAAATAGCCTATGCTGAGAGCCTTCTGAGCAAGCGATCTGCCCCCAGCGTGATTTCCACATTCGCCGTCGTGTATCTTGCAGAGAACCTCGAGCGTTTGTGGGTACTTGATGCAAGTGAGATGAGGCCCGTAGTATGATCTGCGGATAAGCATGTCGCCTTTCATGTAGTATCTTGCAGCCTTCTGCTTGATTTTTCTGGCCTCGGACTTGTCCTTGGGCAGGTTTTCATTCACTAGGTAGTCAATAATTGGGTCTTGCCAGCTAGGATCCTCATCGATCTGCATCAGGTCCGGCTGCTCTGCCTCCTCTATGCTAGGCTGGTCAAGGTGCTCGACCGGGATGGAACGTCTGAACTGGGTATCCAGCGCCGATCCTAAGCTTGCTAGTGCATCTGCGTGCGCGTTCTCTGCTCTGGGAACTTGCTGGATGGTGAAGGTGGGAAACGCCTTCAACAACTCTTGAACTTTGTCAAGGTACAAGATCATCCTTGGGTGCTTCGCCATGTATTCTCCTGAGGCTTGACTTGTGATCAGCTGGGAATCTGAGTAGATGGCCAGCTTTTTGATTGATAGCTCCTTTGCCAAGCGCAAGCCAGCGAGCAACGCCTCGTACTCTGCCTCGTTGTTTGAAGCCGGGAAGCCAAGCGTGATAGCTTGCTCTAACAGGGTTCCATCTGGGGTGATGATGACGACGCCTGCTCCAGCTCCTTTCTGGTTCGACGCTCCGTCTACGCGCAACTGCCACATGTCTCTGGGTTGGTCAGGTTCAGTAGAGGTCTTGTCTGCTCTCGAACTTTCCTTCTTTTTGCTGACCAGCTTCTCTTCTTCGGCTGATGGTGTGAATTCTGCAACAAAGTCTGCTAAGGCTTGAGCTTTTATTGCAGTCTTCGCCGGTAGAGGAGGTCGTATTGGCTTAGCTCTATAGCCCACTTCATGAGTCGCTGAGAAGCATCAGGGCTGTGGAGGATTGATCTCAAAGGAAAGTCGGTCATGACGATGACTCGGTGAGCTTGGTAATAAGGTCGCAGCTTTCTCGCAGAAACCACAAGGGCCAAAATGAGCTTCTCCAACTTCGGGTAACGAGTCTCTGCATCGAGGAGAGCTTTTGACGTGTAGAATATCGGATGTTGGGCCCCAAGTTCTTCTCGAATGAGAGCTGAGCTGACGGCCGAGTTGGACACTGCCAGGTACACGAACAAGTCTTCACCAGGAACTGGCTTTGAGAGCAAGGGAGGTGAAGTAAGGTAGGTCTTTAGATTCTGGAAAGCTACTTCGCACTCTTCGTCCCATTTGTCTTTTTGTCCTTTCTTCAAAGCTTTGAAGAATGGTCTGCACTTGTCGGTAGACTTTGAGAGGAATCTGTTAAGGGCCGCTGCTCTGCCCGTCAGGCTTTGTATCTCCTTCACTGTGGAAGGCGACTTCATCTCGAGAATGGCTTTGATTTGGCGCGGGTGTGCCTCGATACCTCGTTGCGTCACCAAGTACCCTAGGAACCGGCCAGACGATACACCGAACGTGCATTTACTTGGATTCAGCTTCATGCGATATTGGCGGAGTAGGCTGAACGCCTCGGTGAGGTTTTTGAGGTGGTCTGCCCGCTTGGGGGCTTTAACCAGCATATCGTCCACGTACACCTCCATGGTTCTGCCGATCTGCTCCTTGAAAATTTTATTCACGAGCCTTTGGTAGGTTGCTCCAGCGTTCTTCAGCCCAAAGGGCATGACCTTGTAGCAGTAGGTCCCTCTTTCGATGATGAAAGAGGTCTTCGCCTTGTCATCATCGTACATCATAATTTGATTATAGCCGGAGTAAGCATCCATGAAGCTGAGCAGCTGGTTGCCGGAAGTTGAATCCACGAGCTGGTCGATTCTCGGCAATGGGAAGTTGTCTTTAGGGCATGCTTTGTTGAGGTCGGTGTAATCAACGCATACTCTCCATTTTCCCTTTTCTTGTTTCGCCACCAGAACAACGTTAGCCAGCCATTCCGAGTAGGAGACCTCTTCAATGAAACCGGCAGCTAGGAGCTTGTCGATCTCGGCTTCAATGATCGCGACCCGCTCGGGAGCAAAGTTGCGTCTCTTCTGCACCACGGGCTTGCTAGCAGGGTTGACATGGAGCCGATGGCAGATGATATTTGGGTCAATGCCAGGCATGTCAGATGGTGACCACGCGAACATGTCTTTGTTGTTCTGGAGGAAGATGGTCAGCTCCATCTTCTCGTCTGGGCTTAGGCGCGAGCCGATCCGCGCTTTCTTGTCTGGCTGGTGAGGATCGAGGGGTACTAACTCAACGTCTTCCTCAGGCTTCCAACCTTCTTCAAGGGAGCCTTCCGGGCGAATTCCCTCATCTCGATCCTTCTTGGTTGAATTCTGGCGCGAGCCGATCTGCGCCTCCTTCCCTGGCTGGTCAAGATCGGGGGGGTACTAACTCAACGTCTTCCTCAGGCTTCCAACCTTCTTCAAGGGAGCCTTCCGGGCGGATTCCCTCGTCTCGATCCTTCTTGTTCGGATTCTGGCACGAGCCGATTTGCGCCTCTTTGTCTGGCTGGTCAGGATCGGGGGGTACTAATTCAACGTCTTCCTCAGGCTTCCAACCTTCTTCAAGGGAGCCTTCCGGGCGAATTCCCTCATCTCGATCCTTCTTGGTTGAATTCTGGCGCGAGCCGATCTGCGCCTCCTTCCCTGGCTGGTCAAGATCGGGGGGGTACTAACTCAACGTCTTCCTCAGGCTTCCAACCTTCTTCAAGGGAGCCTTCCGGGCGGATTCCCTCGTCTCGATCCTTCTTGTTCGGATTCTGGCGAGCCGATCTGCGCCTCTTTGTCTGGCTGGTCAGGATCGGGGGGTACTAATTCAACGTCTTCCTCAGGCTTCCAACCTTCTTCAAGGGAGCCTTCCGGGCGGATTCCCTCGTCTCGATCCTTCTTGTTCGGATTCTGGCACGAGCCGATCTGCGCCTCTTTGTCTGGCTGGCCAGGATCAGGAGGTACTAACTCAACGTCATCCTCAGGCTTCCAACCCTTTTCAGGGGAGTCTTCCGGGCGGATTCCCTCCTCTCGATCCTGGTTCCTTAACTGCTATTGTGAGGCAGCAACTTCCTTCCCTTTCGGGTTTGCTTGTTGCTAAGAGCGCTTCCTGCCTCGTTGGCAGCTTGCATTACTGGTGTGAACTGCAGCTGCTTGCTCTTCTTGAGCCCTTGGGCGGTGCATCTCCTTGCCATGGCTTGGTCACTGCTGATCTGCCCGATTCCGCCCCCAGGGATGGGATAACGGATCTTCTGATGTAGAGCAGATGTGATGGCCTCGATCTTGCTGATCCACGGTCGGCCCAAGATTCCGTTGTAGGGGGAAACCTCGTCGATGACCATGAAGGTCTTTGAGTAGACTACTGGGGGTGAGTGGACATCCAAGTCGATCGTTCCAACAGTGATTTATGTGGCCCCATTGAAGCCGGTGAGCGATTTGGCAAGTTTGCTAATCTTGGGCTCGAACCCCATCTGTTGGATAACAGATAGTTGCAGGATGTTGGCTGCGCTGCCCTCATCTACATGAACTCGCTCGATCACAGCTTGTTCAATTTGGATGCAGATGACTAGGGCGTCATTATGTGGCAGGTCCAGCCCGATCAAGTCCTTCTTCTGGAAGCCAATGATAGGTGTATCCCCAACAGCTGGTACTCCCGTTGTGACTTGGGAGACATAAGTTGCCTGCGCGATCTTTCTCTTGCGCTCCTTGGTGGTCAGCCCGGACTCTTGGGAGTCAGCTAGAATGGTGTTGATTCGAATGACCTTTTGGGGAGGTTCCTTGGCAGCTACATCACGATCCTCGATCTGCTGGATAGCCTTCTTTGCAACGAACTCTGTGCAATGGCCCTCTCTGACCAGCTCCTCAAGGTGCCTTTTCCAAGCGTTGCAGTTGTTGGTGTAATAACCGTGCTCCCCGTGGAATGCGCAGTATTTGCTGGTGTCTCTTTTATAGGGGTCTCCTTTCATGGGTGGTGGTCTCCTCACCCACGGCTTATCTTTCACCTGAGCTAGGATCTGGTGGATTGGGATAGCGAACTCGGTGAAGGTCCCTGTTTCTAAGCTTCCCTTTTGGGGCCGCGATCTGCGCTTATCTCGGGCTTTTTGCTCGAACTTGTTGCTCTTTTGGCTTGCCTGCTTCGTCGGGTGGTCAACTTGCTTGCTAGCTTTCTTTGCGGCGATACGATCATCGTCCCAAAGTGCGTAGCGCTCTGCCGTCGCGAACACTTCTGCCAAGGTTTGACTTGGAGTTATGGCCAGCTCCCGGTATAGCTCGTGCTCGGTTGGCAAGCCCTTTTTGAATGCTGAGGATGCAACTTGGTCGTTGCATCCTATGATGTTAGCCTTCTCAGCCTTAAACCGTCTCAGGTAGTCTCGTAGAGACTCGTCTGGCTTCTTGCGCAGGTTGAACAGGTGGTCTGCATGCTTTCTGACCGTCTTGTAGGAGGTGTACTCCTTTGTGAAAATGATGGCGAACTCCATGAAGTTGCCTATTGACGCGAACGGTAGAGTGTGGAACCAATCCTGAGCTGCTCCTCGCAGGGTCATCGCGAACACTTTGCACATCAGGGCGTCGTCTGCCTTGTACAGGATCATGGCGCTCTTGAAGTGCCTCAAATGGCTCTCAGGGTCAGAGTCCCCCTTGAATGGAGTGATGGATGACGTTGTAAACCGCTTCGGCGGCGGAGCTCGTTCCACCTCGTCGGTAAAGGGCGAGCGGTCAACTCGATCAATTTCCTTGCATAGGGCCTCCTCCGCGCTTCCTTTGAGTCGGAGACCTCGGAGTTGGTCATTTACCAGCTTTGCGACATCCTCTGCTCGCAGGGTTGGAGTCTCGGGCCGACGTCTTCGGTGCCTCGAGCGCGACTGGCTAGCTTCTTCCTCGGTTCCCAAGGGTCGATCCCCTTGGGTGCTCTGCCCGTGAGGCAGATTAGGAGATTGAGCTTGTGAGGATTCCTCTGCAGCTTGTCGCCGTGTTGGTCCTCGAGCGGGCTGGTGGGCGTCGATCGTCACCCTCTGCTCGCAAGGAAGGTCGTTCAGGTCGGCGCCTTCGGAGTCTCGAGCGTGACTGGCTAACTTCTTCTCCAACTCCCAAGGGTCGATCCCCTTGGTTGCCCTGCCGGTGGGGCAGGAGAGAAGGTTGAGTTTGGGAGGATCCCTCCACAGCTTGTCGCCGCATGTTGGACCTCGAGCGGGCTGGTGAGCGTTGATCGTCATCCTCTGCTTGCAAGGAAGGTCGTTCAGGTCGACGTCTTCGGTGCCTCGAACGTGATCGGCTAACTTTTTCTCCGGCTTCCAAGGGTCGATCCCCTTGGTTGCCCTGCCGATGGGGCAGGAGAGAAGGTTGAGTTTGGGAGGATCCCTCCACAGCTTGTCGCCGTGACCGCTCACGAACTCGAGCTCCTTGTGGACCTAAGCGAGCACGAACATTGGATTGTGGGCCTAGCCTCTCGAGCACATTGGTCCTGGGTCCTAGCCTCGAACGGCTCAGAGTACGGCTCGCAGCTGTCTGCGTCTCGTCTGCCCAATCTCGCTCTCTTCCCTGCCGGTTTGCCCTTGTCTGACTAGCCTGGGACCTCTCGAACTGCTCGCCAGCATGCTCTTGTGCCCTCCTCTCCTCGTCACGGGGTCCAAGATTGGGGCCTTGATTCAAGTTGATCTGCCTGAGTAGCTGGCCAATCAGGTTGTTTTGATCATCGACCTTCTGTGTGAGTTGATCAACCCGCGAGTTAAGGTCCACCTGACTGCCCGGGTCAAGTAGGGTGGTGTGCATTTGGCCCAACGGCATGTGGGCTAGGGCTCCATTGGACGCGTACACAGGTGCATATGTCAAGTGTGATCGCATAGGAGGGAGAGAATGGATCTGCTCCAAGATTGGGACGATGTCAGAGTAGCCATGAGGCTGTGCAGCAAGTCCAGTAGTTAAGTGGTGTGGCTGTTGCTGTGCTCCGACGGCAGGACAGCGAGGTAGAGCAGCTCCGGTAATCGGCGCTGGCGACTGCAAGGCTGTGGAGGTCCCAGGGTCATGTGGCGGCTGTTCTGCAATTCCAGCAGTTGAAGGCGGCTGCAAAGCACTAGAAGACAGCTGCAGGGCGTTGGCAGCCATGATTCCGTGCGGTTGCCTTGAGGTTTCCACCACGAAACCATGAGATGGGCCCGTCGTGGTGGCGTTACTCTTCGTACGTCTTGTATCAACCATGGTTGTTTGAAAAAACTGTGTGAAAGATGGATTTTGAGCACGCTTTGAATATATCTCGTGCTCTCAATGAAAGCACCAATTTGTTTGTACAAATTTCCTCACGGGAATATTCGTCTAAGATTCCTTCGTCTTCTCCACTTCTCTTTCTCCCTGCAAAACAGATCGGGGTAAAAGGACCACACCCGGGGGGTGTTGGCCAAAGGCCCTCCGATGCCTAAGTTAGGTAGGGTATTTCAAGGAAAACCGGGTGGCCGGAGCCGTGTGTGGTGGCCGGAGCCTTGTGTCAGAGAGAGAAAGAAAGTGGTGGCTAGGGTTTGCGAGAAATAATTTCTGCAGAGTTTCAGTAGGAATTTAGACGTACCTTGACCTTTGTGCGTAGCCAAGTATTTATAATGGTCTCGGAGATTAGGGTTTCAGAGGAATAATTCCGTAGTTGGTAAGGAATTATTCCTTCCTGATTTGGCATTGATTTGATTAATTAGGGATTTGATTTATTTGGGTAAATCAAATCCCTAATCGTGGTAGGTATCAGATCAAATCCTAATTTAATTAGGTAACTCCTAATTTAATTGGGAATTGGGGTAGGAATTAAATTAATTCCCAACTTAATTAGGTAATTCTCAATTTAATTGGGTAACTCCCAATTAAATTGAGTAACTCCCAATTAGGTTGAGTAATTCCCAAATAGGTCAAATAATCCCCAAATGGAAGGAATTATTTGACCTAGGGTATGATTTAATTCGGTTCCCACACTTAGAAAGAAAGAAAAATGAATCAGCATGACCCAAGATTTAAAGATCTCTATAAAATTGCTCTAAAATCCCAATGGGTTATTTGTTCTCAACAAGATTGTACCCAAGTGGCAATCTTACAGCCAGTTTTGACTTTCTCCATGTTTGACCGATCATATCGCTCGGTTTCACGACCAAAAAAGCACACATGCACACAATGCAGAGTCAGAACGTGAACTAAATAAAACCAGAACACAATTTCTCTGCATATCCTTCTCATTCTGTACAATCCGAATTCCGAAATATCTCTCTGCATGACTGAAAACAACCAGAAAACCTGCCAATGTGATCGAGAAATGGCCGAGTCCGAACAAAGCAGCGTCTGGGACGTTGCCATAAAGCAGACCAAGGAGGCTCAAGAAAAGGGTAGTGATCCTCTTCTCTGGTCAATGCAAATCTCGTCAAATCTGAGCTCTGCAGGGGTGTGCATACCTTCCATGGAGCTAGCCAACGTGTTGGTCTCATACATTTGTTGGGAAAACAATGTGCCCATTTTGTGGAAGTTTCTTGAAAAGGCCTTGGTTTTGAACATGGTGCCCTCTATGCTTGTTCTTGCTCTGCTTTCCTCCAGGTCTGTGTTTCTGTTTCTGTTTTCCATTTTTAACTTTGTAAATAATTTTTTTTCTTTTTTGGTATTTGATGTTCTTGGTTTTATTCCGATCTTCTTTGAATTTTGTATTAGGATGTATTTAGTTGTTGTTTCATGTCAGTTCACTGCTGTGCAATTTTCTTCTTGTTTTTTGTTGGATGAAAATGAAAATTGTTGCGTTTTTCAGGGTTATTCCAAATAGACGTGTGCAGCCAGCAGCATATAGGCTTTACATGGAGCTCCTTAAGAGACATGCTTTTTCACTCAGATCCCAAATTAATGGGCCTGATTATCAAAAGTGAGTTTCTAGTTTCAGTCGTCTATAAGGAAGCTGACTTTGTGTTTTTATGGAATTTTGTTGGTGATCATTAGTAATTGGGGTAAATTCTTTTGCAACTTTTAACCCATCTTCTTCATACAGGGTTATGATATCAATAGATACTATTCTTAATTTGTCCAAGATATTTGGTCTGCAAACAAGTGAAGCTGGGACTATTGTGGTTGGGTTCATCTTTTCGACCGTGTGGCAATTGCTTGATGCATCATTAGACGATGAGGGGCTGCTGGAACTTACCCCAGAGAAGAAGTCTAGATGGCCAACTAAACCCCAAGACATGGAGATAGATGGTTCCGATAATCATTGTGAGAAGAGGATTGAACATCTTGAGAGATTACAGAATCATAATACTTCGATGGCTATTGAACTAATCTGGCAATTTCTGCAAAATATATTGACTTCCAAGATTCTTAACTTGGCAAAAAGAAACATGTATGCTGCTTTGTTTCTTCTTTTTCAAGCTTAATATGCATTCTATGGTATTGTGTCATATGGCGGAAGTGAAAGCAAATGGGACAACTTAAATTTTAGTTCATTGATTGGAAGTCTTACTCCCAGAAAAGTTTTCTTGTAACCAAGTATTTTGGGCCTTTTAAGTATATATACCTTTTATACAAGTACCTTATTAAGCTTATTTCTTGGCCTTTTTGTATGGAAGGAGATTTTTGCTTGACATTGTGCTGCCCCTTTCTCAGGCCTATACATTGGGAGGGTTTTATTCAGCAATTACATCTGCTTGCAGAAAATTCATCAGCATTGAAAAACAGCAATGTTACTAGTCCTGAGGCAATTTTGCAGCTGGCTTCAGATATTTGTATAACCCCACAAAATTCCAAACTGCGTTCGGTACAAAAGTGCCATTCGATTATGGATTCTTCTGAGGGACTAAGCCGTGGAATTGGTCGCTCTACTATATGGCTTCCACTTGATCTGGTACTCGAAGATGCCATGAATGTTACGCAGGTCAATGCCACAAGTTCTGTTGAGGTTATCACTGGTAAAGTAGATATTGTGGTAGATCACTTCTTTTATCAATTGCTAGCAATGCATGACAATAAAAGTTTGTTTCTTCTCAGGTTTGATCAAGGTCCTTCAAGCCATAAACTGTGCAACTTGGCATGACACCTTTTTGGGTTTATGGATTGCAGCACTTCGTCTTGTCCAACGGGTTAAAAATTATTACTGCTTGACCATGATACTCTTTGTCTATAGTACTGTCATTTTGAGATATCACACTGATTTCCATTTGTTTACTTTTTTCTCTTTTTATGTTACTTCTTACTAATTTTCAGGAAAGGGATCCTCTTGAGTCCCCTATGCCTCACCTAGACTCTCGCTTATGCATGTTGCTGTCTGTCACCCCTCTTGTGGTTGCTGGTCTCATTGAGGAAGATGAAAGTGCACAAGTAGACAAGAAAGAACATAGCTTTGTCAGTCACTGGAGAAAACAAAAGGTCACAGGGAAGTCTCGCGATGATTTAGTCTCAAGCTTACAGATGCTGGGAAATTTTATAGGACTTCTGGCTCCCCCTCGTTCTGCTGTTTCTGCAGCGAATCAGGCTGCTGCAAAAGCAATGTTCTTTATCTCAGGGACTAAGGTTGAAAGTGCATACTTGGATTACATCAGTACGAAAGACATCTCGATTGATTGCTGTAAGTAAAACCTGAATTATACATTCAGATTAAGCTTTTTACTAGAGAAGCTCCAATTGGCATTGCATTGTAATTCTGACCCTCTGACTGTTCGTCCCTTGGCCCTGAGTTTCTGACGCCATACTGTTATTATCCCACTCATTAGCATCTATCACCTCCTACATGAATTTAGAAGGATGCCTACTTCTCCATTTCATGAGGGAGGATGCCTACTTCTCCATTTTTATGAGGGACTGCTTCTTTGTGGTATAAATGTATTTCTCTCTAAACTTTGTTCTATGTCCTTATTTCAGCAGGAAACATGCGCCATCTGATAGTTGAGGCTTGTATAGCAAGAAATCTAATAGACACATCAGCATATTTCTGGCCAGGCTATGTGAAAGGATGCATCAATGAAATACCTCGTGAGCTGCTCAAGTGCCTGGTTGGTCATCGTTAATGCAGGGATTGCCGCTTACTCCATTGTTGACAAATGAATTGGTTTCAACTCCTGCGCCAAGGTATACTTAGATCTTCTTCTTCTTAAATTATATTAACTAAATTAAAATGTTTTGCTTTCTTACTTCCTGGAAGTTTCATTTGAAGGCTTCTATGGTTTTGCCTTAATGATACCATCAATTTCAGTGTGATCATGGATGCTAGTCTTTAGATGACACCCCTATTATTCTCAGTGTATAGACGGTGGATGCATGGCCTAACTTTTGTTGTCGCCTCAGGTCCCAAAAATCTCAGGCCGGCCCTACTATATGTTGATTTTGGCCTCATTAAGTAAATGAATGAGTTATTCTTAGCTAAATTTATAGATTTTCTGATTCTGGCCTGGTCTCCATTTTTTTCCTGAAGCCAGGTGTACAGAAGCTCTTTCTTCTTCTTCTTCTTCTTCTTCTTCTTCTTCTTCTTTGTGTGTGTGTGTGTGTAAATCTAAACAAGGTAAAGCAATTGAATGTAAGCTCATGGTTTTGGTGGAAGTATAACAGAGCTGGAGAAAATATTTGAGGTAGCCATCAATGGCTCAGATGCAGACAAGATATCAGCAGTTGCCATCCTTTGTGGAGCCTCCCTGATTCAGGGTTGGAATATTCAAGTAATGAATTCTTATCCTTTCCCTTCTCTTTACATTCTCTAATTTTTCTTCTTTATCATCATCATTATGATCATTATCGTCATCAAATCTGGTTTCTGCGAAACTAGCTAATCATTCTAATTACATTTAGGTCTACATTTCATGTAGGAACACACAGCTCATTTTGTTATCAGGTTGTTGTCTCCTCCTTGTCCTGCAAATTATTCTGGAAGTGGCAGCCATCTGATAGGTTATGCTCCCCTGCTAAATGCGCTTGTTGCTGGGATATCAAGCATCGATTGTATTAAGATTTTGTCACAACTTGGCATGGTACATGTTCCTTTCATTGAGCCAAAACATCTCCCCATTACTTAAATAAAGTACAATATTGTACTGAGTTTTCTAGGTTCCTTGGATGAGCTAATAATACTCCACATTTAGGTTATTTTATTTCCACAGCTTGGGAAAAGGGAAGAAAAATGAAAAAAATAATGAAGAAAATGGGGATTTTAAAATACTAAATGGTAACTGTTATTTGGGAATTAAATCTAGTCAAAATTGAACCTTCTTTTTTAGTACAAGCGATAGTTTAAAGGGAGATTCACTATTATACCCAATATAGGAGCCCAAATTATAAAAACACTCTATATGAAATAGACTTTAGAAACACACCCAAAGCCCATTTACGACATAACAAAAAGACTTTAAACTTCTTTTAAATTACAAAACTTTCATTGATTTCTTAAAACAAACCCCAACACCAAAACCTCATAAAAAGGCACAAAACACTCAATAGGGTATCAAAGTAATTTAATAATCAAAATTAAATTCAATAGGGTCGGCTGTCATTTTTTGAGTTTTTTTGGGTTTGTTTATAAAAATTAAATGGTGTAGGGTTTATTTATAGTTTTAGTGCTAAGAATGAGTATATGACTAAATATCTGTAGTTGAAACTACAATAGAGGGAGATTTCTCACACACACAACTATGATGTTATGGGAATTCGAACTTGAGACCTCTAGTCTGCAACTCAAGGCCCTTTTCCCCTAAAATGAAGTGACTATGGTGAAAGTTTTGATTCAAAAAAATAATCCAAATGAAAACTAATAATGCCATTTGGTTTTGACTGCTGTTTCCAGGTTCCACAACTAGCATGTTCATTGATGACAATCTGTGAGATTTTTGGGTCATGTGTACCCAGTGACTCATGCAGCAACACAACAGGGACAGAAACCTCTGATCCTCATACTGTGTTTTCTAATGGATTCACACTTCTTCTGAAGCTGTGGAGGTTTAATTATTGCTTTGCAGATCGACCAGGACATGTCTCAACCGTTCGATCTAACATCAGTCCTGAATACCTTCTATTAGTACGAAACTCCCACCTAGCATCCTCGGAAAATGTCCACCAGGATCATAATAAAAGGAGACTTGCAGCAGTTGCAAGCTCATCATCTGCACAACCTATCTTTGTTGATTTGTTTCCAAAGTTAAAAGCCTGGTACATGCAGCACAATGCATGCATAGCTTCAACCCTCTCTGGACTTCCCCGCGGAACCCCCGTTCATCACCATGTTGATGAGCTTTTGAACATGATGTTCAAAGAAAAGGAGCAAGGAAGAAAGTCTGCAGAATCTAATACTTCTGCAAGTGGAAGTTCATCTAAAGAAGCAAATGAACATACCTTTTTAAGTAAATTGCCTGCTTGGGATATTCTGGCAGCTGTTCCGTTCGTAGCTGATGCTGCTTTAACAGCCTGTGCTAATGGGATACTCTCTCCCCGGAAACTGGCTACTGGTAAGTCTAAGCCTCCTCATCTAATTTCCTATAATTGGATTCATGTGTCAACCTGTTTTGATAAAACAGTTGCTCTTCATTATAATTCGGTTCATATGTGCACTAATAAGACCTAGATGTTCTTGTTATCTTTAGGGCTTAAAGTCTTAGTTGATTTTCTTCCTGCATCTGTGGCAACCATCGTAAGCTACTTCTCAGCTGAAGTAACCAGGGGTGTTTGGAAACCAGCTTTTATGAATGGAAAAGATTGGCCCAGCCCTAATGCAAATTTGTCAAATGTTGTGGAAAAGATCAAGGAAATTATAGCTGCCACTGCTGTTGAGGCTCTCAAGCTGCTGCTGCTTTTTTTTTTTTTTTTTTTTTTTTTTTTTGTTTTTTTTTTTTGTTTTGTTTTTTTTTTTTTTTTCCACATCACATAAATGTGTACACATAAAAGATACCCATTTCTCAACTGTTTGATCGTTTAAATCCCAGAAGTCGATATTAAAAGTTCAAATAACATCAGAAATGGTTCCTTCTCACTCTATTCTAGGATCTATTTCTTCAATAACATGGCTAAGGATTGTTGTTGTCACAGATGGAAGCTGTCAAGCTACAATGCCGTTGCCTCTTGCTGCCTTAGTGAGCCTTACTATAACATATAAAACCGACAAAGATTCGAAACGATACCTCGACTTAGCTAAAGTGGCTTTGGCCTCCATTGCAGCAGGTTGCCCATGGCCCTGCATGCCAATTGTTTATTCACTCTGGACCCAGAAAGCAAAGCGTTGGAGTGCCTACTTTGTCTTCTCTGGATCTCGTACTGTCTTCCTCCAACACCGAAATGCTTTTGTCCAGCTTCTTAAGAGCTGCTTCACTGCCACACTTGGCCTACATTCCACTCCTCTCTCATACAACGGAGGTATTGGAGCTCTTCTTGGCCATGGAATTGGATCTCATATCCATGGCAGGGTTTCTCCTGTTGCCCCAGCGATCCTCTATCTACATGCTTATCCATATTTATCAGACATTGTCTTCTTGAACAAAGAGATTGTTTCCCTCTTGATGCATTCTGTGAGAGAGATAACAGGTAGTGGGTTTCCTATAGAGGGATGCAAGAGACTGAAGACGGCCAAGAATGTAATGATACAGGGAAAGTATCTGATGGATTCAAACTTGACTCGGGTTAAACTAGTGGCTTCACTCGCTGCTTCTTTAGTGTGGTTATCTGGAGGCCTAGGTCTGGTTCAGTCATTGTTTAAAGAATTTCTGCCTTCATGGTTTGTATCTGTTCACAGCTCCAGACAAGAGGGAGAACCAAACGGAGTTGCATGGCTAAAGGGATACGTGGTTGCATACTTTGCATCTCTATGTGGAGGCTTTGTATGGGGCGTTGACTCATCATCCTGGGGATCCAAGCGGCGTCCAAAGATTCTTGGAACTCACATGGAATTTCTTGCAAGAGCACTAAATGGCCAGATATCTCTTGGCTGTGATGAGACCACTTGGCGCTCCTATGTCTTGGGATTCATGAGCCTGATGGTGGTTTGCATGCCAACTTGGATGCTGGAAGTGGATGTAGATGTGTTGAAGACAATTAGTAAGAAGCTGAGGCAGTGGAATGAGGAGGTGCTTGCTCTGGATTTGCTGGGGATTGGTGGTGTTGATTTCATGGGTGCGGCTGCAGAAATGATAATTCAAAGCGAGCCATAATTTTTTGTGTTTTGTTTACCTTTACTCTTCCCTTGAAAAATTCAGCTTGCCAATTGCAGTGATACATTTGAAATCTCAAATTACTTCACTTCTTTATGGTAAAAAATGAAAGCCTTCATAACAATTGTACGGCAATCCTCAACTTCAAATTGACCAAAACTTTTGAGCGTTTTAGAACCCCAGCACCCTCATCATACAACATCACTATGCCCCGGTGATCTCTTCAGTCTTAGGCTCTGCATTGCTCGCCGTACAGAAAAGGCTTCCTCCCACTTCCCTGCATCTGCGTATATGTTGGATAGGAGAACTCTACCTGGCCCATGAGATGAATCCAACCTTGCCAAATTCTCTGCGGCCATTTCTCCTATTTCCAAATTCCCATGTGTTCTACATGCTGCCAATAACGTGCCCCATATCACTATATCGGCCTTCATGGGCATGCTCCTTATCATTTTCTCAGCATCTTCTACTCGCCCAGCTCGGCCCAGGAGATCCACCAAACAACCATAATGCTTGATATTTGGTTCTATGTTGTAAACGTTCTTCATGCTTTTAAAATACCTCTCCCCAGCCTCCACAAAGCCAGCATGGCAACATGCACTTAGGACTCCGATGAAAGTGATTGAATTGAGTTTGACACTACGCCATTGCAAGTCCGAAAATATTTCGAGAGACAATGTTGCATGTCCGTGCATGGCCAACCCACATATAATGGCATTCCATGGTGAGACAGTAGAGGCTTTGTCTCGGATTTGGTAAAACACCTCTAAGGCTGTATGGATACTCCCACATTTGGCATACATATCGATGAGTGCTGCACTTAAATTGTCATTAAGAGGAATGGAGTTCTCAAGTATGTATTCATGGGCCCATCTTCCCTCTTTCAATGTGCCTAATGTAGCAATTGCAGAGAAAACACTCACCATCGTAATTTCATTTGGTTGGATCCCACTAGCTACCATTCTCTGAAAGAGTTCCAAAGCCAATTCCGGTTGTTCACTCTGTGCATAACCAGAAATCATGGAACTCCATGAAAACACATCTCTTTCAGGCATCTCATTAAACAAAAGCCTTGCCTGGTCAATCATTCTGTTTCTTATATATCCTGCAATGAGTGCATTCCAAGACGCAACATGCTGCATGATGCCCTTTTCAAACTGAAGATGAGCAAGGTTCATGCGGCCACAGGCTGCATAGAAATTGATGATTGTTGCCTGTATAAAGTCATAGCAGTCAAAACCTTCCTTTACAATTCTCTCATGAAATTGTTCACCTTCATGTATTGCCTCGGACCGCCCACATGCCGAAATCAAATCTACAAGCATAACATCATTTGGTCCCAATCCGGTACGCAGCATTGCTCGATACATTACCATAGCTTCGCTTAGCCAGTCTACTTGCACATACCCATCAATCATTGTACCCCATGAAACCACATCTTTTGTATGAATCTTGTCAAACAACTCTCTGGCCAAATCAACAAGCCCAGCTTTTGCATACCCATTTAACATGACATTCCACGAAACTATATTCCTTTCAGACATCTCATTAAACAAACTTCTTCCTTCCCAAACACTTGAACAACCGCAATACATGTGTAACAAATTCGTAGAAACAAGAACAAACCCCTCAAGCTGCAACTTAACTACCAAAGCATGAAGCATTCGACAATTCCTAATCCCACCCAAATGGGAGCAAGTTGAGATTACAGTCGCCATTGTCACCTCATTCGGGATCACACCCGCACACCTCATGTCCTTAAAAACCTTAATGGCTTCTGTCCAACACTCATTTTGGGCAAGGCCCATTATCATGGTAGTGTACGAGACACAACCTTTCCTGGGCATTATCTCAAACAGCCGGCGCGCATTGTCCAACTGACCAGATTTGACATACCCAGCAACCATAATATTGCAAGACACCGGGTCCAACTCAGAACAAGAACCGAACAGCGACTCAGCATCGGCGATGAAGCCGCATTTGGCATACATGTTAATCAAGCTGTTGTTGATGAAGGCGTTCGAGTGGAGCCCAGATTTCAGAACAATAGAATGGATTTGTTGGCCTTGGAAGACGGCCACGAGGGATGAGCAGGACTTCAAAACCGAAACCAATGCGAGCTCGTAGTCGGTGTGGGTTTGGTTCGTTCTGCATTTGAAGAACAAACGCAGATGGTCTTCTGGGTTTTGGGTGGTGGCGGTGGAGACCCATTTCAGACCTAAACGAGAGAGGTTTGGAAAGCCCGGGAACCACTTGGGTCTTAGAGATATGAGCATGGGATGAGACCATAAGACGCTTTGAGTGGGGTTTGATTTGAACTGAAGGAGAAAGAAGGTTTTCGTAAGCTTTGTTGGCACACGTCCTTGAATTTATAATATATTTTTTTCTTTTTTGATAAATGAATTTATGAATTTAAAGTGTGAATTTTGATTAAGCAAACATGAAAGGAAACTTTTTAGAGAGTGCCAATAACATCAGCTCCAAATACAAATATAAAGGGTTTAGAAACTTTATTTTTTCCTTTTGATACAAGTGATAATCTAAACTATTATAAATTAATTTAATTTATGAAAAAAAGAATTCGAACTTAGGTTTAAGGTGGCAAACTCAATGCCCTATCTCAATTCTTTATTATTATTATTTCTTTTTATATAAACGATATTCTATTTTAATATAATCTAAACTACAAGAGAGGGGAATTCGAACTTGAGTGTAGAGTGAGAAACACATTCACTCTAGCCAACTCATCAGCTATGCCCATGTGTGCACCTCATCTCGATTCTAAAAGGAAAATGATTATACAAAAGTTAAAAACCATTTAGCTCGGCAAGCATGGTAGAGAGGATGATAGATTTAACGTCAAATAAATATCCAATTGACATTTCATATATTTATTCTCATTAAATTTGTTATATAGTTCCAAATGTGAGAAATCGCTCGAAATGATGCTTCTCTAGACAAGTTTGTTTCAGACATATGCGTGTGCGCCACCAGAATATATGATCGAAGAAAAAGAATTGTTTCGATTGAGGGTGAAGTACAGACAAAAAAAAAGAAGAAAAAAAAAGAACATCTATAATCTAACAGGTAAATGATAGAACATGTAAAGGGAGCTCTGGTGGCGAAAGCATCCCGAACAATCAGCGATTGTCTCCCCCATTAGGAACCATACTGGCAAGAGCCCTGCAAGACCAGAGAGAGTTTAGATTATAATCGTCCTCAACCTTAAACAATGCAGATGCAGCCATAGATAGCTTGCACAGTTGCAATTCCAAGTAAATCGGCTATAGCACTTTCAGGGTTGGGTCATACAATAGTTAAGACAAACAATACCAGCCTACAAAAGCAATAAGTTCGCCTGCAAAGTAATAATAGTTCAACAACCCAACAAATACATTTGATACCTACTGAGGGAGGGGGTGGCTTAGGGCACTATCTTCTGATGATAAAGTGAAACAAACTGCAAATAACTGAAATTTAATCAAGAATCACAATGAACTAACCAATGACAAAACTAAAAACGAAATTAGCACACAGTCATCAAGCTAACTGTAAAAAATCTTTCTAGGATTTAGAACTGAATTGAACCAGAAATGCAGAGGACACCCTTAAACTGGACCCATCCTGAATAAGAACAAAGAAAATTGAACCCTAGGAGCCTATGGGTTCTTGCTAAACTATAATGCTGGTTTCTCACTATTGCCTGCACTACCACTCCTGCTCTCATTTGACAGCTGCATTGTAGGTAAGGTTCTAGGAAACGGACCAAACTACTCTCTTCCCCAAACAGCAAATACATTGGTGAAGGCCTCTTATGAGGGGTTACCTTCTTACACAATACTAATGGCTGGTCAGATAGATCTAGAACCTGCAATGGCTGGGTACTTTAAACCGGGATGGCCCATCATGCTACAACAATAAAATGAAGTACCGAACAAACATCAAGACAAATACATGAACTTAATCACCATATCATTTTGAAAACGAAAACTTAATCATTATATCATCATCCTAATCCTATTAGTTTATACCAAGGACTCAGGTTTGTGTATATACTAATTTTGTGGAGAAAAATCATATAGAACCATGTTCTGCTCCAGTTTGTCTACCAAGATCATACAAATGCTTCTTCAAATTCTGATTAAAAGCTTCCCACACCAATTGTAAGATAATCTACCTTCTGCACCACTGAGGTTGATGTCTGGGTTATGGACTTAGAGACAGACCCCTAACTTATTGAGCTCAAATACTACCGCCCCAATTCTCTCCCTAATATTATGGAGTAGAAGGGAATCTGGCCCATTTGTGCTTCCTTTGGTGCTTGGGACGACTAAATCATGTCATGGTCATGCAGTGCTTTAATCGTGTTCGTGTCATAGTTGCTTGGTGCCTTAATCAAGCCCTTTCACTTCTTTTAGGGCCTCATCAGGGTCGTGTTTGGCATAGATCATAATACAAACCATTAGACAGGTGATGCCATATTGTACCAAACTTGTTTGAAACATGTCATGTCGGTACCATACTCGTACAGTACTAGCCCAGATTGCTTATCTCTACTAGGGAGTACTCTCCTGTTTAAAAATCACATGTGCATGCTATTTACACAGATAAATCTAAACACAAGCATAAATCTAACAGTGCACTACCAAAGATATATGTCCAACTGAACTCATATATGCAGCATACACTATTGAACTCCTAGATAATTCAGGTTCCATTGAGCAAACAAAACATTATTCTAGCCTAGATTGTTTGGAAATTCCAGCTCCAATATGCCATAGCTACAAAACAAATCTAGCCAGAGATACAAAATGAAAAGACAAATTATCTGCAGTTTATTGTTTCAGTGGTGGACGAATGACTGAAAAGTCAAAATAAAAGCAAAATCTGCCAACACAGAAAGAGTCCTGCTTCCGAAAAACCGTGTTCTACCTTCTACAGTATGGACTTGCTGCCATCAATGAAGCATCATTCCATATGGATCACAGGACTTCTTGAAGATATTATATGAGAGATATCAAACTTGGAGTTGGAGTCAGACCTACATGTTAAAGTCCTGCAGATGACTATAAACAGGTAACCAGAGCATAGAGTCTGCGACCAGCTCCGAATAATGAGATCAAGGTTCATGCATGGATATCTATCTAATCTCTACCTCTACAGCCCTTTGGAATTCAAGAGACCTGGCAATACCCTGTAAACATTTTATACGAATTTCCAAAAAATTAAGCAATCAATTCATAGCATCCATTAAGTTGCATATATAAACACTTTCCCACTCCAAATTGAAACCTACCCAGATCAATACAAACAAAACATATACTCAATCCAATTCAAATCCATATAATCGAAGAAGCAACCAAATGCATACATGACAAAGAGCATGAAAGAACAATATAAATCAAGAAAACACATGATAAACCAACAAAAATTAACATTTCCATGAAAATCTGAAAACTCACTTCTTATGCCGGCGTCCTCGCTTGGGACCCCAACCTTCGAGCTTGGCCACGGGGCACCCGCATCGCGCCCGAAACAGCAGAACGGCGCGGCCATTTGGGGGCGCCATCTTCCTCAGCTCAGACCTGAGACACTCGTAATCGGGATTGGCCTCGCTCCCGCCCTTCCACGGCAGCTTATCGATATCTTTCGACCCGGTCTTCACACACTCCTCGGTCTGCAATTGCAAATCGAATTCCATGGCTTTCTTCAAACCCTTGCACCCAGGCCTGTCGCACTTTCTCGATCTAGTGCCACAGCAAAATTCGACTATGAACAGCGCGACGGCAAAAAAAGCGACGAAGCCGACGACATAAGGGACCGGAATGTGGTGGAGGTGAATGCTAGAGTGGGAGAGGAGGAGAGAGAGGGAATTGAAGATGTAGGAGAAGTAGGAGGTGATGAGGAAGGTCCCGGAGAAGAGGACGAGGATGAGGATTAGGAGGTCGAGGGTTGCAGAAGGCGAGTGCTTGCAGAGGAGGGTACAGTTAGGGTTTCCGTTAGAGCTAGGGTTTGAGGATTTGGGTTTGGGGGTTGGGGAGGACGATGACGTGGCGGCGGCTGAGGAGGGCATGGTGGTGGTGATGGTGGCGAATAGCATATGGCGCATGTTAGAGAAACGCAGAACGGGGGTTTCTCTATTTTTGTTTCAAATTTATTTATTTATTTACTGAATTATTATTTATTTATTTATTTATTTAGAATTAAAATGAGGCATTGTGTTGAGTATGTATGAATTTCGGCCTTTGGGGAAATGATGGGGGGAGGGGAGTGGGGGAGAAGAAGGTTGCTGGTGACGGAGGGCTCCTCCGTTCACGCGCCTTTTGGAGCGAGTATACCAAGAACCTCCAAACCTTGTTGCGTTAACTATGTAAAAAGTATATTCCTTTTTCCTTTTCATAACGTATTTATAAATTTCCTATAAGTAATTAGTTTAATAAGGAATATTTAATTGAAAATCATGTTTAGTAAGGGTTTAGTGGTTTAATATCTATATCTAAATTACACGAGTGACTCAAGTTCGTTTGACATAACATAGTATTTTGATATTTAAATAAGAATCACGTGTAAAAGCTCGAGATTCGAATGAATTGCATCTATTTTCTCGACAATAGATCAAATTTAATTAACTTAGTTAATGACTTTAACCCACGAAAAATTAATAACTCTTTTGAGAAAATAAACAAAAACAGAAGAAAATGAGATGTTTGGTTTCGGTAAGGCTCACCCTTGTGTCTAGACATTTTACTTATTTCAACCTATAAAGCTGTTTTTGTTGCCTAACCTCATTGACTATGTTTTAGTTTTCAATGCCGACAAGAACTGATGATGGACTAAGAGTCTGAGACTAATCAAAACGAATTAACGTGAGAACCAAATTTGGCTTTTTGTTTGAGGATTTATAACCACAAGCAAAGTATAAAACGTTGACGTTGTACATGATAGAGCAATGCTCTTGTCATCAGCCTAACAAGAACAAACAAATGGACCAATGATTTGTTTGAAAGTTTTCCCAACAAAAGAAAAGAAAAAGGGTAGCTGATTGTTCTGCTCCCTGTATATATGGTCCATAACTTCAGCTGAGAAAGTAAAGAAAAGGAATCAGAATATAAAGAGAGAAGTTGGGTGGTCCATGTATGAATCATATTGAGAGTCCGGATTTCTATTTGTCGCTAGGGTTTCTTGATTTTTGCTACCCTTAGTTATTCACGTGTGCACGTGACGAAATCTCACAATCACTATGGACTTCACATGCATCAACAGTTAAAAATTATTCGTGAAATTACGCACGAGTGCATAAACAATTGACCATAGCATACCTCCAGGTTTTTTTATTTTTATTTTTATAATACATGGATTCTCGTGACCGACTCTCAGTTGGCAGCCAATTTGTTCAGTTTGTGGTAGAATGTAGTTTGGTGGTGAAATTAAATAATATGGTATTAGAGTTTTAGTTTTGAGACCCACGAATATTAGTTTGTTGTATAATAGTAGTCGCTAATTTCATTCCCTAACCACTTAAAATATTTAATACATATTTCATGTAAAAAACAAAGAAAAATTTGGATACATCAGACAAATTCATGTCCAACCAAACTGATTTTCCACCAAAATTAATGTAAGAAAAAGATTTGATCCATTCAATCAGAATATTTAATTCTGTATTAAACACAATAAATAATTAAATAAATTTGAAGGGCCAGGTTCATTTGGTCGACAGAAATTCGATCAGTCTATTGATGCCATGATAGAGAGAACTTTAATTCTACAAGGCAGAAAGAGCTTTCAACAGAACAAATTTAAGATGTACATCTGATTTTATTGCAATGTTTCTTCCATATATGCTACAAAACATGCCTTAAACACCTTGAAATTTCTATGACATATTGATATAACATCGCCGAGCTCAAACTAAACTTTACTTCAGACCCCCAACAATGACTATCTAGAAAGCTCATAAGATAATTACAAGATTAAGATATTGACAGTTCTGGGAACCTCAGAAACAAAGAGAGAGGGAGGAACCTAGAACTCACGATCAGGGAAAAGAAAAGGAGCCACAAGGGACCAAACATATAGTCCAGCAGTAACCCATTCTGTGCAGATTCGGACCCAAACCGATGTCCAACCAACGTCTATCAGATCTGAGCTCTCCGATGAGTTGGTCCAACCCGAAAGAAGCATTGCTGAATACATGCTAGCCAAGGCAAATATCAGGTGGAAAAAAGTATAGGAATAACTAACAGGTTTTGCTTCTTTTTCCTTGGTTTCTTTCCCTTCTTCCAACTCTTTGCCATCGAGAAGAGGTTTCTTTTCAGCTGCGCCTGTGCCACAAAGTTCAAGTTTGGAAGTACTTAATATGTAATAAACAAGAAGCATAGGAGTAGCTTTCGTGAATTGCAAATTCATCTTTTATTGCTTCCATTGAATAAAAAGGATTACAAAAATTAGTTGAGTACCTGCCCTCGGTGAAGATGGTGGTGATAAAAAAGTTGTGGATGATCCAGCACGAAGTGCAGAGTACAAAACTGAAAGAACAGTCGTCGCCATCCCAAGAAGAAGGGTACTTACAGAGACTGCTTTGGAATGGTGAAGACCATTGCAAGCATAGCCACGAGGTTCACTGGAAAGAGCTGTGTAGAGCACATAAGCACTATAAACAGATATCACAGAAGCAGGAAGGAGGCTGCCATTAACCTGTTTCAAATTTCCAGGCCAAAATCATCACGCAGGTTAATTCTCAGTATAAACGTGACACTCTCTACCATAAAAAAACTACATTTACCAATTTAAATTTTTCAGTAGCAGTATTACATGGTAGAACCAAATATGATGAATCATCTAAAAAATTAAGCACTGTGAGTCCCAGACCATTGAAAGTCTATCCCTTCAGTAAATATAAGTGAGAAAGTTCTTAAACAGTGTAGGTAAACTTGCTATGGAGCCTTGCAATGCTTTATTCCAGTTATGTAATCCAACTTTTGATGCAATTCAGTCTTTTAAGTATTGCGCATGATTTGTAACTCTCCATGTGGTCAGTATGTTTCAGTGGGATTCTGTCCCTAAATCTATAGGGACTTCAAGATCTCATCCATTTCACCTAATTCTTTGAGCAATATGACTAGGTCCTAATGGTTTGCATGATCTGCCTTAGGTCAGCATTGTCACGAACTTTTCTCACGAAAAAATTAATTCTTTTAGATTTGCAATACTGTGATCACTTTAACCTTATTAACCACAGCTAGTTCCTTCAAGAGCATCAGCAAGGCATGGGATTGAAAGTCTATGCCATTTACATAGCTACAGGAATAATCTAATGATTGATAACAAATGGGGCATGCAGGACATATTACATAACATGTGATACAAATGAACGAAGTTGACCATCTTATCTTTACCTTAGGGTGTAACGCAATAACTGCAAATGAAAATGCAAGAACCATGGTCATGACAATAAAGAAGATATTAAGGCCACAGTCTTCGCCAGAGGGGTTGAACCAAATGAACATAATGCCTGAGATCGTAAATGCTGCAAGGTAGCATACAATTGATACAACAAGCAAGGCAATATACCTGGAATATACACATTTATAGAGTGAGAACTCAAATTAAACACGTGAAAGGGAAAATGATATATGAGTACTTAAACCAACCATTTTTGTTCATCTTTCTCCACCCATGCATCATTCCATGAGTGAGTAAAGTCTAGTAAGATAAGCACTTGAACGAGTAAAAATAAGCCAGCCCCAAATTTTGAAAGGACACCTGCAAGCACAGGGAACAATATAAATTTTAGAATTAAAGATGAGAAATGGTGGGGAGATAACCATCCATTGGAATCAGATTCATGACTGGCCCAATAACGTGGAAGTGTCGGCCCCTTGCATCGTATCTAAGATCAGTATATTCATCTTATACCACAAGCCAAGCCCTGAAGTTCTAAAATCCAACCAATAAAAGAATTTGTTGTTATATTCGACTATCTAGTTATTTTCTCAATAGTCTGATGGGTAGATTTTATTTCTTGTAGTAAAACTGAGGCCATGAAAGCAGTTTTCCCTTACTTAAATTGAAATTAATCAACTCTGTGTCAAATAATGAAAGAAAGGAGATGGTTGATTCTAAGATCCCATATGTCCTATTTATATTCCACAGCTCAAAAAGACTAATTCATCCCCTAGTAAACAGCACAAAAGCCAGGAATCACAAAAAGCATCCAAATTTCTATATATTTTCAAACACACATATTAGTTATCATATGCCAAGGAAATGCACGATGGAAATTTTAGCTGGAGTGAGAACCGTTAGCATTCAAAGCATTAATTATTAAATAAGGGTTGAAAAAAAGAACATTCTTATTTCCAAAAAAATTCAAAAAAGCATGTTACTATCCCAGTGCAAAGAACACATCTTCCAGGGAAATTTTAGGGCTATTAGGGCTACAGCATGCAAATTATTGTTTCACATAACGACAAAAACAGCCAAGACAACTCCAGTAGTTACTTTTCTTTTGAACATCTGAAGCACACACATCAACAAGGCAGAATCACATCATTCTCAATTGCACCCGGTTAAAGAAATGAATCAGACTCAAACTGAATTCAATCAATTGAGAAACAAACTAACCATAGATTGTAATGACGATGTCTGGAAGGAAAAACATGAGAATGACAAGCAAAAGCCAGACCACCATCTTGGCAATCCATCCACCATGATGCCAGGAATCCCGTCTGTCATTTTGATCCTTCACTCCAATCATTAGAAGGGCAAATGTGACGAAAAACAAGAAATTCCCCAAGCTCACACGAAGAACTGCGTCTATTTGATACCACTCCTTGGTGTGAGTCTGAGAAGAGCTTATCCCTGCAAATACCAAAAAGATATCAAAAATCAAATCCGCAACAGTCACAAACAATAATTTGGGCAGTGAAACAAGCTTCCTACTAAATCTCAGTCATACTCATTAAGATTATCAGGAAACGAATGCGTTGATTTCCAATTATGGCATTGCCGGTTTATGATCAGAAAAATGCAACTGAATTTCCCAATTCTTAATCTAAAACAACGCAAAACATCAAGACGATTATATAGTTTAAATTTCTTTACATTTAGGGGCAATTAATTGCACCCCATGACCAATCTAAACAAACGAAACCCAACTCATAAAATTCAGACTTGGATGCAATTCAAAAATTAACACGCTTCTGCAACACTAAAAACTGCAAAATCTGATCATTTCTCACATACCCAATTAAAATTAGTTCAAAAAACGAAAAGGGTCAGTGAAGAATGGGACTCACATGGGATTTTCTTTAACAGAGGAGCTCCGACTTCTCTGAGGATCCAAGAAACGATCAAGGAAAGGCCGAAGAGACCACAATAAGCAAGTCTAGCTGATTTCCTGGAAATCCCAGAGGCCACGGAGCCGCACAGGCCGCACGTAGAAGCAGCAATGCAAGGCAAGCAGCACGACATCTCTGGGCCTACTGTCCTGTTCTTGAAAATTCTGGGCTATTAACTGGGAAGGCGTTGAAGGGTAAGAGCGGTGTAGGACTGGTAGGTAGCTTGTGGGCTATTAACTGGTTTGTTTTCCTTCCGCGTTGTTCTCCCGTGTATTCGCGCACGTAATTTCAAATTTTAATGCTCATTGGCCGCTCGGGTCTTCCCCCTATGATTAGATGGAATATACGAAAGCATAAAAGTAAATTTGCTTCTGATTTTATCAGATTTTATGGGCTCATAGGCCTGCTTTGCTTTTGTTAGCCTGGGCCCAAAGAACTTTTCGATGTTCATCATGTTAGCCCAAACCAAAAAGTTATTATATTTGCACCCAAGACACACCAAAACAGAACAAAATTAAAAAAATTGTTAATGACCCACCCCAGTATTTTTGTTTGAATTTTCTGAGGAGAGGTACTCACATGAATAGTGCATGTCCTGCTCTAGTAATTTTATTGTTGGTTTTCCATCTATTGTCATGACAACTCAAAGGCAACTATTATTCACATGAGATATGAGGAGAAGAATTTGTATAAAGTTTTGGTATGGGAAGTGAAGAATATGACTAGGTATTTATAAAATAAATTAAACAATATGAAATTTTGGTTTTTTTTTCCTTTTTTTTTTTCAATTGTTTTGTTATTTAAATTGGTTGCTGACTTAGTATTAAGTCATCTTGCCCAAGCAGTTGCCCAGGCAAGTCTTGATTTGAGCCTTGCCCAGACTGGTTGCCATGGCAAGCCTTGGCCGTTGGAAACAGGATTGGGGGCCTAGGGAGCCCCTTGCCTGGGCTAGCCCCTCCTGTTGGAAATGCTCTTAGGAGAAAAACTTACCTATACCGGGAATTGGGGATACCACTGTGGGATAGTGCTATCCCGACTCAATTGCCATGTGTTTTAACTTTTCAACATGGAAATATGTAATAGATTTAGGATAACGCTACATGGCATCCCTGTTACCTCTAAGTTCTTCTCCTTTATTAAACATGGCTTCAAAAGACAGCATGAACTTTATACAAGGAGTTCGCCCAGGACAAGTAAGTTGTATCAAGTTGCATGGCGAAAAACTCCAAAGAAGACTTTCATGTCATGAGACAGATTGAATCACAAGTATCGCGCGCCATTGAACAGAAGTCTCGACCCAAGTTTTTCTCCATTAACCTCTCCTATGAATGAATACACACACCCACCAGCCAAAAGTACAGTTTTTCTCCTTGGTTGCCATTTGCAAAAGAAGTCAGTACAATCTACATGCTCCACCACGACATCTCTCTCAACTGTAGCTGAAGAGTCGCAAAACATGAACCCACCTGGCTGTCACAATCTTTTTGTAGATAAACCTTTTTTTTCTCTCTTTCACACTAATTTTAAACGCAGCTCTTTGCGGGCTGTGTTTCTTGAAAGGGAATGTTTTGTGATTGTGGTGTTTCAGTTAGTCACATCCCCAAAACTTAAAATCAAAAGAACACACTTCACTCCACTTCACTTCCCACCTTAATTATTGCAACTTCCCCAAAGACCCAACAAAATGCACCCCCCACCAGCATTGGATTTTTCCTCTTTCTAATCTCTTAAAGTAAAGTAGCTCAACAAACCACTGGCTTTCTAACGTTGTCCCCAAGCTCTGCTTCATCTGCTACAAGTGTCTGCATGAGTCATGACCTCTCATTGAGCTTGTTCATAGGGCCTATCTGGTTTGGACCCAAGTTAGCTGGACATTAGCGGATCATTTTCACTCAGGTCCACAAGGATAGCGCTAGACTTAAAGATCTTATCCTTGATGCCTTCTGCTTGGAGATAAGGTTTGTGAACAGTCTGATTTGCCAATCTTTAACAGGGCAGTGAGACATGATTAGACACGTGGAATGGGAAATGCGATTGTGATGTTCTTGGGGGGGCTTGGCAAAGCAAGCACTCTGTCACAGTCTTGGCCTTTTGGAAGCCACTTGGGACTTGGCCTCAGGAGGAGTCACCAAAATTGGCCCAAAGAAGAGAGATACTTATATGGAAACTCACGTAGGTAGAGGTGACAATTCGTGTTCGCGCGTGTCGTGTTTTCGACCTTGTTTAGGGTATAAATAGAATCAGATGCTTTTGCAAATCACATGCGTAACATAAAATAATACACATAACCCCTATCTTGTAGCTGCTTTTGCCATTGGTGCAGATCTGATTGAAGTAGGTAGGTGAATCAAAGGATATCTCAGACAGGCAAAGTCATTCTATGATCACTTGTGCCACTTTTATAAGGCTTGCTAAGCCGCCCCGGGATTAAGGACATAGTTCCCTTCCTGGTCTGGGTTAGGGTTCCAAACCTGCCACATCCCCTAAAGCCCCAGAGCTCGAGGTCTACTTCTACCTTTATAATAATCAAAATAATTACTTATATTATTGTTTCCAAGTCGTGGTCAAAATTGCCACTCCTAATCTAAAGTCACATGAGGCTGTCCAAAGCAGGATAATAACGTGGGGTTAATTTGCAACATGAATAATAGAAAATAAAGTCCATGTTATAAGTACTTATAAACTACTTTGAAGTTCAAGAGGGACAAGACAACTATGAATTAATGGCAGACAAAGTTTATCTGATTAAGACGTTTAAGGCGGATTTAGAGGGAGAGATAGAGTTGTAGAAAGCACGTGACATTGAGGTGGTGTGAAGATACAAGTGGACCCAGTGACTATAAGCACGGAAGGCCATGAAAGGTTGAAGCTGTAGTCTTCATGTGGATATAAGATATCTGGCTTACAGATAAATGCCAAGACAAGACATGCACCTGAGATATATTTGACCCCAATATAAATATAATTATAATTAGTGAAAGTAGCTTAGAGCTAGCTAGCTATGGGAAACTTGGGTAGGAGAATTGCCAAGTGGAAGAGAATGGTGAGGCAACAGAGAGGGAAGCTTTATATTACAAGGGTCTGCATTTCTATGCTTCTTGGTTGCCACAAGTACTCTTGATTTGATTTGTGGCATCCATTTTTCTCGCCCCCCTTCCATGATGTTAGAACCCTAATTTTTTTTCTATGATTATCGACATTTCATCGTATACGTAACAAGTTTGAGGTGCTAATCAGTCCATGCATGCATGCCTGCTGAAGATGGAACTGCTGCCAGACGGTCGTGCATCGATCAGAAGATCATGTCTTTATTTAGGTGGTGAGATTAAATTTGTGGGTCCATGAGACCCATGCAGTCCCAAAATGTATGAATATTAATTTGAGATATATTTATATAGCCAGGTGCTTGCTGTGAATTAAGAAGCATGTCTGATTGAGAGAGAGAGAGAGAGAGAGAGGGAGAGAGAGAGAGAGAGAGAGAGAGATATACCTAGTTTGCAGTGTAAGGGAAAGGGAAAGGTAAATTAATTAGTTTGTTACTGCTGACTGAGTGTGCTGTAATTTTGTGTTTTCAATACTAGATTGTATATGGTAAGAAAGTTAATTACTGTGTAAAATAATCTTCTTGTTTTGAGTGCAAGGAACCATCTAACAAATGAATTTCAGATCTGCAGAGCTATATATACATGAAAAATCCAAGTTTGAGGTATTAATTTATAGTAATAATATAAATGTACAAATTAATGTTGTTAATAAATTTGAATTTTGAACGAATACTCCATCCATAAGCTTCCCGAAATTCTGGCAGAGCACTGGATTTTGTCAATCTATCCTTCAACCTTCTTCATCTGCACACATACACAGCGGGGACAAATTACAGCTCCACATAATAGAGACAGGCCTAGGTGGGTTGGCCCTGAGATAAGGATATAAGCGCTCCAAAACCAGTCCTTGAGCAGGGAGGGAGACAAAGCTGATGTGTCTGCCTTGTCATCTTTGTTTCAGCGGGGCCTCTCCATGTTAATAGCTGCCAACACTTGGTCACCCACCCTCTGATGATATTGTCTGATCATTATCTCTCTATAAAAAAAAAGCAGCTAGCTGAGCTCAAGTTCCATGAGCAAGTTATCAACCAAAATACAAGTGCCTCTCCGACTGGACTGGACTATAGTCCGGGAACATGAAAGGACGGATTTCCTCTGTTCTGACGCCGAAGCAGCGGTCGTGGGATAAGTGCTCGAGGCTGATGAGGGATCAGCGGACACGGCTTTATATCATGTGGAGGTGCACTGTCATACTTCTGTGCTGGGATGAGTGACAGGAAGAAGAGGGTACATACTATACAGGGTTTAATGAAGCTGTAGATATATTGGGGAAGTTAATTAACTGTTGAGGCAAGTATGTGTTTGTGATCCGTTGAGTTTTCTATTCAAATTTGATACAAAGAGTTAACAAGAAAATCTACTGCTGCTGCTGTGGCTGGGATGACTTCTCTTTCCCCCTTTACTGTTTTTTCTATTTTTTTAAGTCATGACAACAATTGGAACAAAATCAATGCAATCCTCAACTGTGCCCCACGATCATTTCATCCACTGACATTGGTCTTCATTTTGTTGGAGGAGGTTTCGAGTTCAAATTCCATAATAAACAAGGCAAGACTTGTTTTTTTTTTTTTGGTTCTAGAAAAAATCTCTTCGTTCAAACTAAACTAGAACAAGGGAACAAATTCTCTTCATGGTTTTTTATTCCTTTTGTAGCTGGGCCATGGAATAAACCATTTTAACCCTCACATTTCAATATTTCCGTGAATTAGTAAGTAGAAAGGAAATAATACTGTGAACTCTTGGAAAACATAACTTATTTACGATTCCAGATACTGTTTTTTACAAAACAAAAAGTAGAGCCAACCTAAGAGGCAGCTCGAACCTAACATATAATATTAACCAAAAAAGAGTTTAAATTAACAAGCTCAATGAGCTAACGAACATAAAATCATATCCTATCCATCTATGTAGAACCCCGCCTCTCCCCCCACCATCGAAAAACAAAAGGAAGAAAAAAAAACAGATCAGAAAAACTTTTGGTAGATTGAGGTCAAAGCCACTTCCCTGAGGAGCAAAGGGTTCAGGATATGACAAATCAACTCGATGAATCATCTCTTATTTCAAAGAAGTGGTTCACCAGAAGCTCCTTGTAGCCTTGTGGAGGACAAATCACCAGCCGATATCTTTGGGGCTAGTCCTTGCTTACTTTGGCCTGCTGAGGCCATCATCACAACAAGAAGATTATACATTAGTTAGCTTCAACCACTAGACATAACTTGAGTATCAAAAAAACTGACAAAAAGTTTAACAGCATAACAGCAGCCCAGCCCCATCATTTGAAGCCATCATAAAAGTTAGGTGTTCAGAATAAGCAAACCAAACATTTGAATGAGGATGCAAGCCAGTCACGATGAAGTGGAATTATAATCAGGAAATTTACTTGTCATATCAGTCTCTATCCGTATCAATCATTAAGTTAAGTAACAGGACATAATGCTCCAAAGTAGGCATGCATTACTGTGATGATCTGAATGAGGTGGCTATCGATATCTCATATTATGTAAGTGTTTCATTCTCTATACTTCCTTATGGAATCAACTGCAGCACCATTGTCATCTATATATATAAAGCAAAAGGCAGAGAACAGTAAAACATTCAAAATACCAGAAAATGCACTTGGTTAATGCAAACATTAAGAATTGAAATGATTAATTAAACGAGGGTAATATGGTAAATTCACACATTTTCATATTAAAAAAATTAAAATTAAAAGAAAAATCAGATAATGGATCCTATTTTTATGGAACGCAACTACCCATTATCTTTTTTAATTCTAACATCAATTTAAAATTTTTTAAAAAAAGCCTCTTGCAAGTGCGAAAGCACATGAGGAGAGGCTAGTATAGTCAAAGTAAGGATTTTTAATTTTGAGAAACTTGAATGATATGCAATTATATTTTGAAAGGCCAAAAAAACCCATCCCGCAGGCAAACTTAAATTATAAACATAAATGTTGCTTGAATGAGGATTATAAACATAAATGTTGCTTGAATGAGGATTATAAACATAAATGTTGCTTGAATGATGCCCCCTCCCCACCCCCTCAATTTATGTCACCATGCTGACAAATGAAAATAACAGATTGAAAATGGGTAAATTATTCTGTTCACTCACGGGTCCTTTGTGCGCAGTTATCCTCCGAACTGATGGAGCCCGTGCCACTGATGAAGCAGCTGCAGCTGCAGCAACACGTATCCTGCAAAGAAGAAGAAGATCAATCTGCTTTCGTGCAACTCTCATACATAATATCAACCAAATATTTACAGTTGCCACTTTGTGATACCTTTTATGTACATCAACATATTCATCAGTTTCATCCACAATCTCCTCCTGCATTTGTCAACAAAGTCATCACTATAGTATAAAGTCTGCGGTCAATTGAACAATTTTCATCAACTGAAAGGAAGACAATATTAATTGCATGTACTTTACCTGCAGGAGTTCTTCGAATACATCTTCCAGGGTGATGATACCAATAACTTCACCATCCTCAGTATCCTCTGACAACTGGGGAAATCCATTAGTTGCTCCGTCACCATGGGATGCAAAAGTTTCCCTATTGCTATGAGGGGATCTTGGTACCCTGGGTATGTCAACAATGACACTGTCTGGCTTTCCATCTTGCTTGGATAGCAAAGGAGTAGTCAGTTGGGAGTCCGTGTCACTGACTCTGTTGTCTTCTTTCTCTGCATCAATCGGTGGAAGAGCCTTACTTTTCCCTTTAGACTTCACCACAGCAGCCATATGACTGCTGCCCTTTTGAAACTCATTCAATATATCATAGAGTGGCATATCTGCAGGAACTCTGGGAATACAACCCACACATAAGAACTGAATATTCCACACTCAGTACTGGAATTGAAGAAATTGAAAAAACACTAGCATATTTAAAGAAGTTGAAGCACACCGTGGAATTCTTCGGATGGAAACAGCACTGACTGGGGTCTCTGTTTCAGGTCGTACAGTGAGAAGACTTTTCACCTAATCCCCAAACAAAAGAGAATAAGGGGATAAAAACACGAGAATTACAGATCACAGATTTAGTGAGTTTACAATCTAGAATAGATACATAATATGAAACTCCAAAGATTTTAAGTTTTAACACCCACCAGCAGAAGTCCAATAATATTCCTTGAATTCCCAGAATAGACAGGAACTCGACTATGTCCCCGAGCAAGAACTTTCCCCATTGCTTCCCTGAGTAATTAATTTGAAAAGAACACAAATATAGTTACACTATTCATTGTACAATTTCAGCTGCAAATAAACTTGCAAAAATAAAAAGATAAAGAAGTTAATAAACCTAACAGAAAGACAATCAAATCACATGTTGTATATGAAAGGATACTTATTGATTATCTTAAGTAGGATTTACTAGTAGAAGATGACAAATTGAACATAGCAATGGTTGATGGGTTGTCTTTCTGAAAGATAATAGAGCCGGAGCATCATTAACAGTGTCTCCCAACTTTACAGGTTGAATCCTAATTCTCATTTGTTACACTATGCTTATTTTAGATCACGATCATGATACATGCAAAAGGATGTTGGCTGCATAATGCCCATTTGATTCTTACAGGAACCAATGAGACAATTAACTGAGAAGGGTAAATGCGACTTATTCAGGAGTGAAGCTTACCAGTCCAACTTTGAATTGACATCTAAGGAGAAGGTTGATTCAATAGGCGTCATTGCCTCCTCGGCAGTCTGTTGATAAATAAATAAATAAGTTGAGTTTACATGATAGAAAGTGTATCAAGATTTATATCACTTCAAAGCAAAAATGAAATAGGAAAAATAAATACAAAGTAAGCTTCTAAGAGGAAACAATTTCATGCTGAAGCAATATGAATAATTTAATATCACAACTTGTCACTCTAAAGCTGCTACTAATTTCTCTAACTCAAATTAAGATTAAGAGAATTCAGACACCTTTAAAATGAAAATGAGATGAAAAGTATTACTTGATTATTCCACCTCAAAAGAAAGAGTACAACTAATTTTTTCTATATATTTTGACATTTTCAACTTAAATTAGAAGTTTAGTAAACAAGAATGGCTTCCTGTTTGATACATTGGATGGCTGCATTACTAGAAATTGCAAAAAAAGAAAACTACAACAGTTAAGCCTCTAAAATGACATGTGAGTTCCATTATAATGTGTACCTTTTCAGTTAAATCCAGTGCTCCACTAATTATCGTTGTCTCATCGTGTGTAAGTTCACCACCCTTGCCCTCCTATATGTGACAATAACATATTGGAATTTTTATAAAGAGAAAACAAGTAAAAATGTTATCATATGTTTCACAGTCAGATAATTTTACCCAACTGATAACATATTGATTCTGAAGAGATTCACTTTACCTCCTGGCTGTGGATGGAGACAAGAGCTTTCAACTGCGCTCGCCTAAATAATGCTTCATTATGTCCCAGAACACAGTCCAAGATCTGGATCACATAAACTTCTTGGTGTCAACAAGTCGAAGTCAAATCAAACAGCATCATCAATAATTCGTTATTTGAATGGCAAGGTTATATCAAAGAGAAACTTTCAATTTCTAGTGCATATTAAATTCTGTTCTTTTGTTTTTGTTTCCTTTGGCTAGGCCATTTTCAGATTATATGAGAACTAATATACATCAGAGCTCAATTGCATGACAAACTAGTTTTATTTAACCATTACAAGGAGAAACGAGATGAGATGAACAAAATTTCTTCAGGTGGATCAAACAATTACATCATTTGGATGAACATATAAAACAAGCATCCCTTTCTCTGTTTCCTGTCCTTATTAATCAAATATACACGTAAAGATAGTGGAGTTGTAGGAGTACTGTTTAATCGAAATTCAGGATTCCTGACTATGTAAAGTGAGGATCATACCAGAGCAAGCATAAACATTAAGCAATAAAAACTCCTCCACATATGCAATTAACTGAGTAGCGATGACATTACAAAACCAACATTGAAAGCAGGTATCATATCAAATTCATGAAAATATCAACTATCTGCCTGAAAATATACCTTGCCAATTGGATAAGCAATTGGATAGCAAAGAACCATCAACACTCGTACAAGACATACAAAGTTGGAACCAACGGCGAGTCCATATCTAGTGCATATTGCTTGTGGAATAACCTGGAAGAATAAAGGAAACCAGCAAACCAAATTCCAATTCAAACCCATCATGCGTGAGTATAAAGGTTAAAACCAAAGTGCTAAATCATCAAAAAATTCGGAAAAACAGCATACCTCTCCAAAAAACAGGACAAAAGTCACGGAGAGGATGATAGCAACATACTGATTGAAAAGTTTATCCAAATATATAGGAAGAGCCTGCAGATTGCAAATATCAAAGTTAAAAGCTGGCATTAATAAGAATACTACTCATATTGAATCTTGAACCTTTTCATTTTCAATCAGACAAATTTAGCAGATTCTGGTATCAAGAATCAATTTCATTATCACAAAACCAAGTCCAATCCTAGAACAATGGCATTGAGAACCAGAGAGACTGCAATTGATCAAATTACTTACTTCCATAGCAGCCGCATTACACAGAAGCAAAGTAACGAGCAGCTGATGCTGCTTCTGAACCACCGGCAATATAAGAGCTGAGCACAAAAGCACACAAATATGTCAATAACTCCGATAAGTCGGCTACTTACGAGCGAGACGAAACCGAAATTGAACCGAAACGGAAACGAACCTGCTTGTTTTTTCTCGGTGGGAGAGCCACTACGCTGTAAAATCTCAAGGTCGACGAGGCCGAGCGACATGAGTCCTAGGGTTAGGCCGGACATTATACCGGCGAAGAGGACGAAGAAGCACGAGAGCCCCGCGTAAATGAACCACCAGACCGATCCGAAGGGTATGCCGCCAACCTCCGATCCGAGGCCCGAGTTCCGAGTCAGCATCCGAGTCACCATTATCGCATTTATCGGATGCATAGCTGCTTATGGCTTCTTCTTCTTGGTGATCCAGGTAGCGCCTGCTTCTTCAATCGCTCTCTTTCTCTCCCAGAATGATAGAATCTGAGTGCTGACTGAGTGAGAGGTTTGTTGAAGTTGGGAGTCTGGATTTGGACACTGATTTTATTGGATGGACACGTGGCAGAATCTTAAGGATTTGGTTAGAATCCGTGATCGGGAACAAAATTTTCTGTTTCTTTTTTTTAATACAAGGTTTTGTGTGCTTTTAGTTTACCGCCTTTTTACCTTTTAACCTTTCGGTTTCTCTATTCCAGTTGGAAAAAGAGAAAGAGAGGGAGGTACAAAAATGGAACAAAAATCGTTGGGTTTTGTCCTGTTTTTAATTAATTGATCTTTTTTCTAACCATTGTTACCATCTTATTATTAATCCTTTGTTCGTTATCTTCTTATTGCAGGACGCCCAAAATGAAGGCCAAATTGGGAATGAACAATATATGCCAGAATTGGTAAATTATTAAGTTTTGTCTTGTTTTTCATTTATTTTTTAGGCTTATTTACATCAACGCCTTTTGAAACTACGGTCAAATCTCATTTTGTCCTCCAACCTTAAAATGGCCAACACTCCCCCTTGACCATAGTATGGTGACCCATTTTGCTCCCCACCATCAACTCATTCCAAAACAACCTCCCACTAAAAAGTCTCACACAGTTCCACATTTTTAAAAATCCTTCGAAATTAGCAAGTTTTTGAATACAATATGACTTTTTGTTACTTGTTTAAAGTCTTGACTAAATACCACTAGATTTTGACACCATCTTTTAAAAATCCTAATGGTCTTAATGGAATACCACAAGATTTGTTTAGATTATTTAAAAGTCTTAATTGAATACCACAAGACTTATTTATCCCAAAATAGTATGTTAAAATCTCAATTGAACACACATCTTGCTTGGTTGGAATATTTGCATCTAAAGACTCTGCTGGACTAAGCAACTCATCATGAAAAATAATTATACTATGTCGTGCTCTATCTGGGTAAAAATTATCTTTAAACCACTATGGAGGTTTACTAGTGAAATCTAATTTTACATTTTTCCAAAGAGGGAGATAAAAATTTATTACTTCTTTTATTTTGGAAGAAAATGAAGATAAGTGATCACTACTTTCAACATAAGGTTGACTTAAGGAACCATACTCGGCTAAGAATCCTGGAGTAATTAAGAAAGTTTTCTGTTTATGTTCTAAATGTAGTTCTCTATATTCTATCATGTTAATACTAGCTAAATAAATAGTATAATGAGAACAACTTTTTGCAATAATTTTGATACTAGGTTGTGGATTATTTTTCAAAATGAAAAGAAATGCTTGGATATATATAATTGAAGGGTTGCATTTTTCTCATATTCTAATATAATCACATGACCCTTAAAATCTTCTAGTAGAAATCTATACCTTTCTCAAGCTAGGGTTTGAAGAAAATATGGATTTTTAGTTTTTTGCTCCAGGAAAAATTCTTTATAGTGCTCAAGTAAGTTGGGCTCATTAGCCTATTTTCCTTGTAAAACCATGCTCAAATTTTGACATCTTAAATTAATAATTCTAAAATTTCTTACTAGTGCCTCATAATCATAATTAGTTCTAATATTCCAAAAGTTTATAATCATAATTTTATAATCATAAAATTTCTTCCTAGTGCCTCATAATCTTAAATTACTAGTGCCTCATAAAATTTTATAACCATAATTATAAACTAAAATATCTTGCTCAAGGCTTTGATAAGTTTTTCATGCTCTTTTCTCATGCTTTCATTATTAGTTCTAATATTCCAAAAGTTATCCAAAAGAACTTTTTGTTTTTCTGCCAATGATGCTTGGGTATGATATTTTAAAACAGTATTTCTAATTTCCTGCACTGGAATTCCATTATAATAATACATATTTACTACTGGTCTTGCTTGACTACTTATACTTAATGGATTACCACCTTGTGATGATGTACCATTATTTTTTCTGCCAGAGGATGATGCTCCAAAATAATACATACATGTTAATGAATAATATGGGATAAGATGTCTGCTAAAGTATTATCCATATCTTTAATATGCTCAAATACTGGTTTAAATCTATTTCTTGTAATAGAATCTACAAAACTAACCCTTCGGGCTTCTTGTTCGTTAGTAGTAATTTATTATAATGAGAAACAATATTTTGACAATCTATTCTATTAGTAAATATTTCATTATATAAAAATAAAATGCTTCAAAAAAGTTTATAACTCCTAAAATTTCTAAATCTGTGGCTAGAAGTCTAGCCTATATATCCCTAAATTTACCTGATGCATATCTACAAACTTCTTCTTCATATTTAGGTTCTTCTAATATAATTAGAAATAAATCACTTTAGTATTTAATAGATTAACTTGATCCCTATTGAAACGATACTCTATTTACTACTATACTAATTTGAGCGATATTTTTCACTTGCAATTAATCACATCAAATTTTGGCGCCATTGTCGGGGGTCGACTTAGTCTGTTAATATTAGTGCGCTTTATTTTCTAGTTGTACTTTGAATATTTAATTAGTTAAGTTTTTTTTCCAGATACTTCTTCAATCCCATTTGATTTCGTCACCAAAAAAAAACACAAAACAAAAGGAGAGAATGTGAGAAGCTTTAGACCACAAACAACAAAAGCAAAAGAAAGATAGCCTAGCAGAAAAGAGAGGAAAAGAAAAGGAAACAGCGCCGTGTAAAACAAAGAAGGTTTAGGTAGCAATTCCAAGTCTGCCACTTCGATCCTGGCAACATATAATTCCCACTTCAAATCAGGATTCCACTTCCTTTTTCAATTCTTCTTCCTTTTCCTTTTAAAATTAAAATTTCTTTCCAATTTTATTTGGGTTTTAAAATTTAAGTTTCTTTCCCGAATTGTGTTTGGGTGTTGTTTCCTTCTTCAATTCTATTTTCTTTCCTTTTTTAAACAATCCTTTGTCCTTGTTTGCATGTACAACAACTTCATTTTTTAGCATACGGTGAATGACTGGTACCCGCTCTTCAATTAGCCAACTAGTTGAATTGGAACCTGAGATTGAACAAAAGCTTCGAGCAATTCACAGGAGACAAAGACAAGACAGAGAAAAGAAGAATCAACAAGGAGAAGAAGAGATGGATCTTGTCCCAAATGAAACAATGTGAGACCTTGATATCTCAACAATTCCGACGTCGCCTTCAAACATTGTTCTCCTTGCAGCTACCAGGTATTATAAATTGAAAAATATCCACTTAATATGACGTATTCTTTCCATGGATTAAGTTTTGAAGATCTTTTAGCTCATATTAGAGACATTTTTAACATAGTTTCTAACATAGCTTTAATAGGGGGAGTCATAGAAGAACATCTTAGGATAAAAGTCTTTCCCTACACATTGAATGACAAAGCAAAGATGTGGCCAAACTCCTTACGGACTGGATTATTGATTAGCTTGACAAAGGTTCAGAACAAGTTCCTGGAGAAGTTCTTTTTTACTCAGATTACTAATGCACTAAGGGATAAAATCATGCAATTCAGTCAACAAGCCGATGAGTCATTTTCAGAAGCTTGGGAACAGTTCAATAATATTTTAATACAATGTCCTCACCATAGTTTGCCTATTCTAGTTCTCATGCGTATTTTTGACAAGGCACTAACCATTTCAAGTAAGGCTGCAGTGAATAACTATGCAGGTGGATCAACTGAATGTCAAACTTTGTTTCATATGATAGAAATCGAAACACAACATTATGATGCAACAGGTAAGCATGCCGGAATTTATGAATTTGGTAGTTCTAATGCTTTTGCTTCTAAAGAGTAGGTTGACGTTATAACTAGTAAATTGGATGCCTTACTTGCTATGATTGGGAGAGTACCAACACAAGAGATCTGCTCCATTTGTGCTGTTCCCAGTCATGCCACCATATCGTGTCCTCATAGAGTTAATTTTCTAGAATTTTTGCAAGAACAAGCCAACATGGTGAATACCTATAGACGTCTCGGCAATGATCCATTCTCCAACACGTATAATCCGGGATGGCAAAGACACCCCAATTTTTCATGGAGCAATACTCAAAATGTACAAAAACCACCACCTGGTTTTCTGCCTCAAGAGAAGAAAATAAATTTGGAAGATACTCTTAAATGTACAAAAACCACCATCTGGTTTTCTGCCTCAAGAGAAGAAAATAAATTTGGAAGATACTCTTACTCAGTTAACTATGTCTACCACCCAATTTATGATTGAAACCAAAACCCAACTTCAGAATCAGAGCGCTTCTATTCAAAACTTAGAGGTGCAAGTAGGCCAAATAGCTAATATATTGCGTGGAGGAAACCAAGGAGTATTGCCAAGCCAACCCGAGATTAATCCAAAAATTCAAGAACATGTGAAGGCGATCACACTTCGAAATGGGAGACCCATCAAAACAGCTGTAGATTTGGACGTACAAAAGCACCACCAGCAGTTGAGAAATACTGAAAAGGCTTATGAAAATAGCCTTTCTACAGCCGGATCACCGCAACTCGCTGCCGTGAGCTCCACAGAAAATTCAACAAAAACTGTGCAATCAGCATCCACAAATCTCACTCCAAAATCCTATGTTCTGCCAATTTCTTTTCCGCAACGCCTTAAGAAAAATAATAAGGATGTACAACTCTCCAAATTTCTTGAAATTTACAAGAAATTGCAAATTACCATTCCATTTAGCGAATTAGAGCAAATGCTGAACTATGGAAAGTTCCTCAAGGAAATCTTAGGTAAAAATAGACGTTTGGAAGATACTGAGATGGTGAAATTGACGGAGGAGTGTAGCGCAGTAATACAAAGGCAACTACCACCTAAGTGAAAGGATCCAAGGAGATTTTCTATTCCTTGCACAATTGGCACTATTTCTTTTCAAAGAGAATTGTGTGATCTGGGGTCTAGTATTAATTTAATTACTTTATCTGTAGCTAAAAGAATTGGTTTGAGGGAAATTAAGAAAACTACTATTTCTTTGCAGATGACGGATAGATCACTTACATATCCTCACGGCATTCTTGAGGATGTACTGGTGAAGGTGGATCGCTTTATATTCCCAGCTGATTTCATAGTTTTATATATGGAAGAAGATGTCGACACTTCAATTATTTTAAGCCGTCCATTCCTCATTACGGGAAGAATGATAATTGACATAGAAAAAGGTTTTTTGATCCTATGAGAAGCCAATCAAGAGGTGGAATTCAAAGTTTTTGATGCAACTAAGTACCCCATTGATTCGGAGTATTGTTTATGTTTAGAAGCAGTGGATCATGTTGTTCAACGACAATTCATAGCGGACTACCCAATAGATCCCCTAAAAGCAAGTTTGGTTCATGAGATAGAGGTAGGAGAGGAGCCACACATGCTCGAAATGATGAACTCGTTGGAAACCAAGGCCATCCCAAGCACTATTGCCTCCCCAGCCCTCACTTTGAAAAGATACTTGAAAGCAAATTTCAATCAACAAATGGAGACCTTCGCTCTCCATGATCCTGGGTGATAATCATTCCAAAAGTCAGGTCGAGAACTATAAACCAAGCGCTTGTTGAGAGGCAACCCAAATAGGTACTTTCATTCCTTTCTTTGTTATTATTATTTTTCTCTTTATTTTCCATCATTCTATGCCTTTACTAATTGTTACATGCATTTACTTTAAACATTGAGGACAAAGCTTAGTTTAGGTTTGGGAGTGTGGAATTTTGTTGTTTTTGTTGTTATTTGAATTTAGTCATAAAGAAAAAACAAAAAAGGAAAAAAAAAAAAAAAAAAAAAAAAAAAAAAAAAAAAGAAAGGATTTTGTGTTTCAAAGAACATATCAAGATTGGTTCTAGCCCCAAGATGATTGCAACATGCTCCAGATCTGTTACAGAGGTTGTTTTGGTCATTAGATGACTTTAAAACCCAGAAAATAGAAAAAGAGGTTATTGTGTTCTTAATTTGGTAAAAATCAAATTTTTTTGCCTCTTTTCTTTTTTGATGTGTTTTTGAGGTAAATTTGAAGCCACCAACATGTTTAGAATGGTTATTGTGATGATTTGAAATAGGTTTGGGGATCTCAAGTGGTTTACATAACGTTTTAGGAAGATTTGAAGCTAAAAAAGTGGCCTAAAACCCAAAAAGCCAAGCTGTTGTTTAGCAAAAAATTGAAGATTTTTCGTTGCTAAAGCATTTCAGCAATGGTGTTCATCAGATATTTCGTCGCTAAAGGTCAATTTTCCAGAATTTTTTTTATTACATTCCAAATCATTTCAAATCCATTTGATTTACGATCATAGATTTCTAGGAGTTGTTACAAGTGTGTCCTTTTCCTTTTGATGAAATTTATTTATTCTTAAGCAATTAGAACTCATAAATTCATGCATCTTTGTTTGCAAAATCACAAAATTCCTTTAACTTTGATAAAATAAAAATTTGTTAAAGCTTTTACTTTCTCTTACTAGTAGTGATGTATATGTAATGTTTGATCATATTTCTTAAACTAAAGTGTTGCCATGAAAGTTTATGCATCATAATCATAGCACTTCACATAGTCATGCTTCAATTATTTTGATGGACAAGGTAGTTATACTTGGATGATTGTAGAGAAATAATGGAGACTACCATTGTGAGAAACTTGAGCCGAATTGCCATTTATTGAGAGAGTATTTGGGATTATTCTTATTCACTATTTTCTTTCTTTCTTATTTAGATTGATCTCAATTAGGCTTTTGAATTGAAACCTAAGAATTAATCTCTTTCAAGTGGCTAAGAACTAATATTTCCTTACCCTTTTCACCATATTTTTAGTGATACCCTATAGCTTGGGAGATATGTGCTTAAAATTCAAGAAAAAAGAAAAAAAGAAGATATATATTCAAAAAAAAGTGAAGCATATCAAAACTCCTAGACACCTTTGTGAAGTAAATTTGAAGAGCCAAGCCATATAACACGATAAATGCCTTGGTATGTCTCAAGTTCGAGTATTTCCTATCTTTTCTTTCATAAACCATTACCTAGCCCTACATTACAATCATAGTAAAGCCCTAACGGATCTTTGGGGACTTCTTGCTTGGAAGTGGAGATATGTACATTATCTATGGTTCTTAGTATTTGATTTCCTTTCCATGAGATCTATTTTTAGAGATTGTCTTTTATTCATCTTGGATGCATATGTGTCTTATATTTTGATTTCTTCACCTAACTTCATTCACATATGTGGGGTAAGAGTGCAACTCTAAGTTCCGTGAGAAAATTGAGAGTTATATAGTGAGGCCTAGAGTCAAGGCAAATTTGTACACACGCCGAGTATGGTTATCTTTAAGTTCGAATGCTTGGAGTATTGGTTTTACACTTTACACTATAGTGCATTTTATTTGTAGTGGCATAACTTTAGTTTTTGATTTGTGATTGGCTTTCATTGGTTATTATTAATTTGTTGGAAATATTGCTTTAACGAATTTGTTTTGCAATGAGCGTTTATGGGTGTCGTGACTTGTAAACTCTTAGGAGACACAACTCCTCCTACTAGGGACACCTAAAGGTTTAAAGGCTTGTGGCACAAATACTAAGTGCCATTCGAGATATACGAATAGGATTAGTGAGTGGTTTGTTTGTTTAGTTTGTTTTTTTTTTTTTTTTTTTTTTTTTTTGCTTTTTTTGTGGACTAGCAAAAGGTAGGTTTGTGGGTATTTGATAATCCTATATTTTATCTATATTTTATGCCTCCTTTGCTTATTTTCCTTAGATTAAATTGGTTGTTTTAATTTGTTATGTGAGATTTGTGAAGGAATTATGAAATATGAGAAATTGAGGTAAAAAGGGGCAATAAGATGAAGATTGGAGATTAATTAAAAAGAAGCCAAGTCATTCCTTTTGTTGCAAGGAGTGTTGTCAAATTTCCTAGTTCAAGATGATTCAAGTCTTACCAAGTCAAGGAGAAATAAAGAAGACCCTATATTAAAAGGAATCCTACTTTTATAATAATTGAAATTATATGTTAGGTGGGTAGGATTTGTAGGAGTATTATAAATAGGGAGTATAAGTCATCGATCTTAGACACTCATAGCCGAAACATCCAAAGGAGAATACAAAGAGCTTGCGCAACCTTGGCGTTCTACTTGGAGAATTCGGTGTCTTCCATGTCTTCATCAACCATCATGATTCTCAATAAGCCCTTCATGAACTAATTTCTTTTACTAGAGGTACGATGTAGCCTAGTTATGAATACACAAATTTTTTGATATTGTTAATTTTATTTATATGTACATGTTGAGTGCTCGTTACCATTCTTAAGGCTTTCAATTAATTGGCCACTAATTGCATGATTGGAAGAATTGGATTGAGACCGGAAGGAGATTCCTAATAAAAAGCTTCTAGTAACAAGTACCATAAATTACATAGCTGGTTCGGAAGGTTAGGTTATGGTTTTTGTAATCTTCAATGTTTTTCACAAATCTTAATGTGTTCTTAGCTATCTAAATCCATAACTAGGGATAAAGTGGGTTGATGGTAAAGAATACAACTAATATAACTCGGAATAGAGTATTGATGAGGTAAGGGAAAACGATTATCAACATGTTAGGTAATTAGGATTAACAAGTTAGAAGGATTTTGGTGGGATTAGCTAGGTGAAATTTGTGCCATAGTGCTTTATCATCTTTGTTTTCATATTTTAAATTATTTAATTAATCTCAATTTATTTTACTTGCTTAATTAGATTTTAATAATCATAATTCTCTTATCGTTTAATTCAAATATAATTAGAAATAAATCACTCTAGTATTTAATAGATTAACTTGATCCCTGTTGGAACGATACTCTATTTACTACTATACTAATTTGAGCGATATCGTCCACTTGCAATTAATCACATCAATTACATTCTTGAGGCCATCCTAAATTAATATATTTAAATTCTTCTTTTTGTTCTTCAAATATACACATACATTCATCTAAATTACTATATGAATTACTAGAGTAATCTAATTTTGACTATGAGTCTAACGCATTAATAGTATAAATTTTTTCATTATCACTTAAGTTATCATCAAGACTATAAATTGATTCTAAGTCTTTGTAATCTTCTGTTTGAAATTGCTCAATTAATTGTATTTTTTCTCTAGGTTGCTTTCCTAATTTGGGACACTTAGGTCTAATATGTCCTACTTCACCACAAAGATAACATTTACATGTACTCTTATTATATACTTTATATTTACTAATCCTTGGTTTATGTGTTCTTTTTCTAAATTGTTTAGGTATATATTTTCTTCTTCTAAAAGTTTTTGCCAGTTGAATTCTAAATTTTTTATGTTGTTTATAAGGTCTATATTTTCTACAACTCTTTTTATATAGTTTTTTCTGCTTATATTTTATGTGACATCCATATTGTTTAGGTAAATCTATATTTTTACAACTCATGTAAAATTGTTTTCTAATTTGTCCTTTTGCTATCATTTGACTACATTCTGATCTTAATATATCATATACATGTTGAATTCTGACTCCTATGGATACATCTAGTTTTATAAGATGTTTTTGCCATCCATTCCAATTTTTTCCTCCTATTGGTTCTTTAATTTTAGTCATATAAGTGTCTAATAAATTAAAATCATCAACTCTGCCAGTTCTACTTAAATATTGGAAAAAATCTTAAGTATATTCACTAATATATTGCAAATCATAAATTTGTAATTGTTCTAAATTTATTATGGCTCTAATTTGTTCTTGTTCATTTCTACCATCCAATCTATTATGTTCTAAGAATTCTTATTTTATTAATTTAACAAAAGTATCTATATTAAACATTTCTTTTACTGCTTGATGCTCTCTTGGATTTTTAGTTTTCCATGCTTGAAAGTAATAAAAAACAATTTCATCTAAAGTATGTTCAAAGTAATCTAACGTATCTTTATTATTACTAAAATCTATCATTAATGCTATATGTACACATCCTTTTCCCCATCTTTCTATAGTTTTTTTCCCAATCTTATGGGTCTACATGATCTAAATTTAATATATTTCATACTAAACTAATTTCTTCAATTTCTTTATAAGGGATTCTATTTTTTCTTAGTCCAAATGTTTCTTATTGAAAAGCACTCTTACTAGTTTCTTCATTATTTTCTCTATATGGTTCATTAGTTTGTCTAAAGTTCTACTGATATGTTCTACTCGCATTAATTACAGATGGTCTATTTGAACTATATTGGTCTTCTGTTGGCATGCATTCTACTATTCACACACTAAATATTTATTTTAAAAAATTCTAAAATTTTTAGTATTTTTGTAGATTTTTTTGTGTATATTTTTTAAATTTTTTTCGTTGCTGACTTCATCATTGATATCAACAAACTCAGGCAACAGCCCAGGCTGTTCTTGCCTTTGGGCTGGCCCAGTTTGCTGGGAACCAGCTGCTGCTCGGGCAGATTAGGCCCACTGGAATGCCAAAACGAGGCTTGGACCCCCTCTTGCCCTAGCAAAGGCAACTGCTGGAGTTGCTCTAATCATAGTTATCTGAAA